GGTGGGTTTGTTTGCCAGGTAACACTATCCTTCTTGCCTGAAGTCATCTTAACCAAAGAAGTACTTATTGCTAGGTAATAAAATGTCAAATTCTTTGAGGGATGCAAGAACTGAAATAATTTTCGCCCTGGATCTCTCTCTTTATTACAGTTGAACTGCCATCTCGAAGAGCTTTATGTCCCCTTAGACTGGCTTTTGGCAATCCTTTATCTGGAGACTTCTATCTTAGAGGATGTTTTCTTTAGTGCTCACAGAGGCTGGGAATGTGCCACAGTGTCTGTGTCATCTGTTTTCATAAACATAATAGAAAGTCACCTGGAGCAGGCATGGGTTACATGGTCCCTTCTATTACCAAGAACACCACTGGCAACAGTTTTCTGCAACCAGACTTGCATCCACCTTCTACAAGATGTTTGACCTTGGGCAAATCACTCAGCTTTCCTGAGTCTTTGCATCATCTGTATAATAACATCTTTTTGAAAAGGTTTTGTAAGGATTAAATGGGGGTAAATATCTGTAATAGAGGGTGTTACTGAGTAGATCTTAATACACGTATTTCCTTATTTATTTCTCCTCGAATGTGGAGCCAGACAATCCCGCAAAGACCATTTTAAGTCAAAGAAATTTTGAAAACATGAACTAAGAAATGAACCAGACAAAATATGAAAGGACCACTTGAAAAGTAATGAGAGGTCTTGGGAGTATGTAAGTTGAGGCTGGGTGACCACATAGCAAGAGTGTCTGATCAGAGAATCGAGTAGTTAGGTGATAGAGTGGACCGTTTGCTTCTCACTGTGTGGTCCAAGACCAGCAACACCATCACCATCACCAGGGACTTGTAAGAAATGCAGACTCTTGGCCCCTCCCAGACATTGTGAGTCAGCATCTGCGAAATATCAGAATCCCTAGTGGGTCATATGCCCATAATAAATTGAGAAGCACTGGATTAGATAAACATTAAGGCCTTTGGAAGATGTTTCTTATTTTCTTTAAATCAGTCTGCAATTTATGTGTAAAAATGAATAAGAAAAAGACATTTTTTTCGATGAGGTAGTTAGAAATCAACCCTGACTGCCCTGATTCCCAACCTGCTGAGTTTCATTCACCCAAATATCTACCTGACCCTTTTTGACTGCAGTTCTGAGCTAGCACCTCATAGGCATTCATATATCTGTTCATTCAATAAATGAATGGATTGACAAAGGAAGGACAGATAGAGGAATTAGCTGAAAACAAGATGATGTCTAGTTTCGTAGGCTCTGAGGGCAGCTGCCCTGTACCTGCTGTCCCGCTGTAACCCTCCACCTTCAGCCTGTAGCGAGTCTTGGCGTCTCCCACACTGAACTTGTCATAGACGGCAAAGGCTGTCTCCCCATGATCCTGCAGGTCCACCCGAAGCTCGTATTGCCCTTGGGCTGTGATTTTGCTCAGGTTGTCCAGCCCTGCGGATGAAAGGCAAGGATTGCTAAGAAGCACAAGTGACTGACACCATCATTTGTGTTCCATCCTGTAAAAGCAGCAGATGGGTGTGCTTGAGTTTCATAGCACAGAGACCTGGCCTGGAAATGTGGACTGCTTCTTGTTAGTACAACAGCAGGCAGAACATGTGATGTTTCTGAGCCTGGGTAAAATCGGACTGACATTTTTGCCTGCCAGTCTCCCAGTGTATTGGGAAGATCAAAGGAGAGAAGAGGGTAAACGCACCTTTTGAACTCTGAAGCTACTTACAAATGAGAGACAATGGATGATAATGGGATGGACATTCCCTGGCTTAGGATGGGGTCCATAGTGCTCAGTACAGCTAGCTGGTTGGAAAGTATGAACTGCAGGGATGTATGTGTAGATGAAGACATTGTAGTGTTAATGGGGAGGGTTTAAATTACAGCTTCCCTGCTTATTGGCTAGGTTCCTATAACCAAGCCACTTGACCTTTCTGAAGCTCTGTACCTTATGTGCAAAAATGGGGATTTTTGCTCTTTGTGGGTGGGTGTTATAAGGGTTAGAGGATATGGCTATAAGGCACCTATTTTAGCAACTGGACTACAGGCAGGGAAGAGTTCCTGATACCAGTGAGGACAAGTCCATAGATAGTGTAGCGAAGGCCTAAGGCTAGGTTAATTCTTAAGGTCTGGCTATTGGCTCTCCCTTGATCAGATTTTTATTTTTAATGACCCAGAGCATTTATATATTATTTTCCCTTGGTAATTTGATATTCCGTATCCACCAGGAGAGCTTCTGTCACCAGAGCTATTATTTCCTCCTAATTCATGTGTCTTCCTTAGGTCACTGTAGGTTAGGAAAAAAGATAAGGAGGGTGGAAATGGGTATTTAGACACAAATATACAGGGCATTACCAAGCCAGAATTCTTCTCTACGGTCGCCAAATCCAGCAGCATAAGCTTTCCAGTTTCGATAAAAGTCCTCACGTCCATTTTTGCGTCTCAGGAACACCTATAAACATATCAATCAATCTAGTGCACTTACGCTATTGAAGAAGGCATCTTTCTGATAGGGGTAAAAATTGGACTGTGGCAACAGTGCTTGTTGCCAGCTCTGTCTACCTTTCTTTTCTATGTAACCTTGGTAAGGTCACCTCCCTTTTCTGAGCCTTTGTGTTCTTACCTGAAAATAGGGATTGAAAATACTAGGGGGGCAGCAGACGGCATAGCAGTTATGTTACTGGACTCCCGCATGGCCAAGCGCAGTTTGAGTCCTAGACCTGGTGGCTTGAAATTCATGCTGAGCATATGTGTGTGCTTCTGTGCCCAAGAGCCCAGGAGGAGAATGGAAGAGAAGAAATTGTGGTGTGGCCGTCTCCCCTGGGGGTGTGATTTCTCACTTTCTCTCTCACTGTCTCTGTCTCTTTTTCTCTTTGGTGAGCACAAATGCCCTAAAGTAAAAGAAAGAGCTCTAAAAAAAAACCAAAGAAAACACTACCCAGATTGGGGTGATAATGGTGTGTTATTGTAGGTTCACTGACTGTAGCAAATGCACACTGGTGCAATACAATGACAATGCAGAAGGCTGTGTGTGTTGGTAGCCAGAGGTAAACGGAAACTCTCAGGGTTCTGATCAATGTTTCTGTGAACCTGAAACTGCTCTAAAAAAATGTTATTTTAAAAACAATACTACCCAGCTCAGATGGTAATGAAACTGGAATCATTCATGTAAAACTCTTGCACAGTACCTGGTAGGTAATAAATGCATAGTCAGTGCTAATTAACATAACTAATGGGTTCAATGATCACTGTCATTTATACACCACCCAAGAGGATCAGATGAGATAAATTACAAGGAAATTATTTCTCCCTGCTTTTTTTTTCTCCTCCCTGGATTCTTTCCATTCCTTTCTTCTAAGTGGAAATTTCCGTGTCTGAGTATGACAGGCACTACCTCATAGAATCTCATCTCATGCACCTCAGTGTCAGAACGTAGGGTGAGGAAGACATCAGTCCTCCCTCCCTTCCCACACTATGCCCTCTCCTGTATCCCCCATCCTGAGAGCTCTGGATACTCACGATCCATCCACCCCCATCAGAGGTCATGTCACAGAAGACTTCCAGTGCCTGGGCCTTATCGCCATTCAGATAAATGGTGTAGAGTCCAGAGGTCGTGTCTCCATTCAGCATTGCTTGGGAGCAGTCCCTGGGGAATGGGTATAGGAGTCCAACTGTGGGATAAGGAGAAAAGTGACTCTTAGGGCAGGACTTATCATAGGAGCTTTCACATTGTAGCTTAGCAGTTCATTGGCTAGATTCTTATGCACAAACATCTTAACCTAAGTCTTGTTCCTGCATATGCAAAAAGAGGATAAAATCCTCTCTGTAGAAGCAGGCTTAGAGGCTTAGAGGTTGTGAACTTGAGAGACCATCTCAATCTCTTGTACTGATGAAATCTGGCAATGATACTGTTGTGAGGACAGTGGAGCGACTATGAGGGGCCTGTGTCAGGTTGAGCTGGGCCTACTTGCAGTGGCCAGGTGGCACCCAATGAGCTGTAGGTGCTGGGCAGCATGACTGGATTTTTAGCATCTGTGGATCAGGACACTCTATTAGGGTACAGGCTGCTTTGAGAGTCTGAGAGAAGCTTTGGATCTTGGAGCTCCCTGGACAAATACGTGTCAATCTACAATATGGCTGCATCTCAGCCTCCTCAGGGGATTCTGTGTCAGGACTGCAGTTCTGAACATCCTGCTGCTTGCTGTTTGGCACTGGAGAATTCAATGAACTGATCTGAGCCTAGGAATCTCAGAGGTGTAAAACAAGAATTTCTGGGAAATGTCCAGATGAAATCATGTGATACAAAAATATAAAACTTGATAGAAAAGGACAATCCTGGGCTGTGCTAGCAGATAGTCAAAGAAGTAGCAATCTTAACAGTTCTTTTTGACCTCCTCACTGCACTTCATCCTTCCTCTGAGATTGTGTCATGAAATATTGTTCATTTCACAGGTCTAGTTTGATTGTCTTATGTTCCTAGGAACTGACCTAAGATCCAAACAGGAAGCACCTTCCTCAGAAAACATGCAGAGACGGACTGCTGAGCGGACTGTGAAAGGCAGGAGGCAGTGCTGGGATACAGTCTGGGTCTCAGGTTCAGGATTCTCACTGTCACGGAGGACACTGCCTCTTGTGCACCAATAGAACACCTTACATGTTTGCTATTGGCAGCAGATCCCCAGTGTCAGATGAAGGAGGAGGCTACCCAGGCCTGGAATAGCTGAGTTCAACTCTGATTCGAACTCACATGGGAGTCTTGAATGGGTCATTTAATCTCTTGAGAGCCTCAGCTTCCCTGTTAGGTAATTGGGTGTGATAATGCTGGCCCACTGTACCAGCTCCGTGGGAGTCCTGTTTATGATTTAGAATGTGAGCAGGCTTTGTGAATGCTGATGGACTGAAGGAGAAGAGAAGGGACATTGAGATTATATTAGCCCTGACAGTAGAAGGACCACACAGTTATGAGCCACAGAATTGGCTAGGAGTTCTAACACACTTCATTAACCTTCACAAGGTCCTTATGAGAAGGGATGGTTATAATCTTATTATATGGATGAGGGAACTGAGGCTGGCAGAATGAAAGTAAACTTCCTAAGGCACACAGAGCTAATGGTAGTGAGGAGGGGTGCTGAATCCAGATGCGCTCATTACTAGCCCTTTTTCTCCTTCACCATGATGCCTGCCACCAGATAGGAGCAGGGAATTAATACAGAGATTTGTTTGAAAAATTTTAAGTCAAAGCCAAAGGTAAAGTGGAGGACTGACTTGGTCAAAGTTAGACCACTTGGACCCCTTACTTGTGGTGAAGGTGGTCTGGATCAACTTGCTCCTCAGGGGTCCATTCAGTGCTTGGATTTTGGCTGTGTAGTGGGTGGATGGGCTCAGGTCTGCCATGCTGTAGGAGGTGGCTTCTGGACCCACAATGACTTCCTAAGGGCAAAAGAATACAAAGGCTTCGTGTTATAGAAATTCTCAGAGTATAGACAATACATTCATTCACCTTTCTATTTATTTATTCATTCAATAAATACACCCTGTGCACCTGTACTGCTAGAATATTAGGAATGGAGAGCATACAGCATATGCAAGGAGCCTGGGGCCAGAAGGGCAGAGTAAATTAAAATAATACAAAGAAAGGCCAGCAGGTGGTGTGAGAGTTATGGTGTTGACTTCCCCATGGCTAAATGTAGTGTGTGTGCATGCCCAAAATCCTGGTAGAAGATTGGAGGGTAAGAGATTGCAGTGGACCATCCTCCCTGGAGAGTGATTTCTCATTTTCCCTTTCTCTGCATGTCTCTGTCTCTCTCTGGTGAGTGCATATACTCTATGGCAAAGATAAATAAATAAGTAAATAAATAATATGAAGAGGCAATGTCCTACCCCACATTGGTTTTAGGTAGTTGAGGGAAGGCGGTAGAATAGGTGGGCAAAGACCAGATTATAAAGGACATTAATTACCAAGCAATGAAATTTGAAGCTTATCTTTATAAGAACTGGGAGACCTAAAATGTATTCAAACGAGTGAATGAACCCAGCTGTGCTTTAAGAAGTGTGATCTGGTAGCAAGATGAATTTGCAAAAAGGTCAAGGGACCTTGTGGTGACTAGTCAGTGGTCTTTTGGGAGGCTTTACACCAGTAGGACGTCTGGGCTTCATCCCAGGTTGGCTGAAACATCAGAGCCAAAAGGGAAGCCTGGCCAGTTGTCCAGTTGTACCTTGAGAAGCATTTAGATGATTTTTTTTTTGAGAGGTTTTTGCCATAGGGTACATATGCTCACTGGAGGGACAGAGAGAGACAGAGAGACAGGAAGCGAGAAATCAGCTGCCAGGAGGAAGGCCTTGATGCAATCCCTTCTCCTTTGTTCTCCTCTTGGGATTTTGGGCATGCACACACATGAGCTCGACATGAGATTTAAGCCAGTAGGTCCGAGACTCGAACTGCGGTCAACTACATGGGAGTCAAGCAATATAATCATTACACTACCTGCTGGTCCTGCTCTTATATGATTCTGATGGGCAGTCAGGTTGAGCGCTCATGAGTCAGATGATTCCAGTAGCTCAGAAAGCATGGCATGATGTGCCGACCCAGGGAGTCTCTGTTCTGGGACAGAGACAGCTGTACGACTTGCTATAACTATGCTTAGTTTACAGTTAGTATCTATGCTGTTGTCTGGTAAGCAGTTTTAGTTTGCAGGACAGCCTTTCTTTTCAAATATTCTCACCAGCTTTCAATTCTTTTAGCTGATGTCCTCAGTGTCTGGGATAGGAAATCAACTTACACTCCCTAGTAAACCAAACACAACACTGCTCTCTGTATCCAGCAGACAGAGCCAAATGGGTTTAGACAGGAATGAGTCAGTGTGGATGTCCCTGTAAGGTTCTCTCAAGTGTCAGGGACTGAGAAGTTACTGTATCCTGATTTTTCCAATAGAGATAATTAGTTTTAGAGACTTGCTTTCACTCCGTAATTTGTTGGTAGCAAAGGATGATCTTCTATCCTGAATTCCCAACATCCTGTCCAGGACCCTTTTCCCCTACATCAAGTTGCTTTTCATGAGTGAGACATGTGGAGCTGGGATTGGATATGCAGGAAACTGGGGTGAATAGCCATTTAATACTAGTGACCCAGTGACCTTTGTATTGTCCTCAGGTTTGGTCCTTGGTGAAGGATCAACTGTCAGGTATGAAGCTGGGTTCATAGAATTACTTGGGGATATAATTACCCATCAGCTCTTTAGGCTGTTGTGTAAAGTCACTTTCTAGGCAAAATTAGTGTACCCTAGATTGAAATAAGACTCATGATGCAGGTAAATACAGAATCCTAGCATTCCTGACAGAGAGTGGCCTTACAGATTGGTGAGTCCAGTACACTAATTTTACAGACATGAACACTGAGACCCAGAAAAGATAAAGCACTTGTCTCAGTTTGCACAGTCAGATAATTCATTGTTAGGCCAGCTCTAGGGAGGTCCATAGTAGTCACTAGAAATGGTCTACTCAGGTTTAACATGACGGATTGCACATGCCCACTCATCTCTACTTGCTTCTGATAACAACTAAATGAGAGTAAAGGATATAGGGTATCAAATTTAGAAAGATCAAGGAAATGAGAGAGGATACAGCAACAATGTCAACAGAATCTTGGCAGATGGAAAGTGAATGGCGGGGAGACCCCTGAGGGGAGAATGGAGAAGGCAGGGAACTGGCTGCATGGATAGAGCCAGTTAAAGGCTGGGTGGCATATGCCATAGAGTCCAGCAGGTTCAGAGATGGAATGTGAGCAAAGCAAAGATGTCTTCATGTCTTCTTTGGAGGCCAGCGTGGGATGTGACTGACCAAAGGCTTGGTTTGTTTAAAAATATTTGTACAAGAAACAGTCAGATCTCCAGTTCTCCTCATCCCTTCCAACAGTCCAGATGATTTCCCTTCCTCACCGAGATGGCAGGCTGAGGTTTATTCTCTAGAGAGGTTGAGCTATTGGGTCATTGAAAAAGTCATGACGTGTTTTTCTATGCAAAAATGTGTCATGAATTTTCCCACAGCCTAAGAGAATGCAGGCTCTGGATTCAAATCCACCAGGTGAAGCTATCAAGAAAACCAGGTTGCTACACTGGGAACAGAGGAAGTGAAGGTTTGTACATAGTGAGAGCACAGGCTTTATGGTACTGAAATTTAGTTGTGCCTCAGCCAAAATGCTGGACCCTCACTGTTGCAGACACTGCAGGGGCAGTTGGAACTCCCAGTCAGCTCTTTTTATTTTTGGCTCAAGTCAGAAAAACAGGCAAAGTCCAACAGATATTGTGTGGAAGTTTCCAATATGAAAGAGGGAGACTCAGACCAACCCAAACCAAGCAACAACAGTGAAACAGAAAAACAAACAAACAAAAACAAAAACAAAAAACTTGGAAGAGACACTACACAGGTAATAAAATAAAATACCAATAACATATACTCTTACAAATAAGATGCTAGAAAAAGGTGGATATGTAGAGAATAAGTAACAGATCTTAAAATAGAAGTGTGATAACCAAAATTTAAAAATTCAATAATAAGTTTGGAAGATAAAGTTTAGAAGATTTCTTGCACCCATTTGAATATCTAAAGCTACTTCAAATTAAAATCTAAAAATGTTCTTAGAGAATATAAACAATATTAAAAGTAGATATAAACAGTATTAACAGTTGATGTCATAGGAACATGGTGAAATACATTGTAATATATAACATAATTATACCACCTTTGAGATTATATATAATACACACACATACACACAAAATGCAGAAGAAGCTCTTAGTCTTTGCTTAGTTTTTCTATGCAAAAATGTGTCATGAATTTTCCCACAGCCTAAGAGAATGCAGGCTCTGGATTCAAATCCACCAGGTGAAGCTATCAAGAAAACCAGGTTGCTACACTGGGAACAGAGGAAGTGAAGGTTTGTACATAGTGAGAGCACAGGCTTTATGGTACTGAAATTTAGTTGTGCCTCAGCCAAAATGCTGGACCCTCACTGTTGCAGACACTGCAGGGGCAGTTGGAACTCCCAGTCAGCTCTTTTTATTTTTGGCTCAAGTCAGAAAAACAGGCAAAGTCCAACAGATATTGTGTGGAAGTTTCCAATATGAAAGAGGGAGACTCAGACCAACCCAAACCAAGCAACAACAGTGAAACAGAAAAACAAACAAACAAAAACAAAAACAAAAAACTTGGAAGAGACACTACACAGGTAATAAAATAAAATACCAATAACATATACTCTTACAAATAAGATGCTAGAAAAAGGTGGATATGTAGAGAATAAGTAACAGATCTTAAAATAGAAGTGTGATAACCAAAATTTAAAAATTCAATAATAAGTTTGGAAGATAAAGTTTAGAAGATTTCTTGCACCCATTTGAATATCTAAAGCTACTTCAAATTAAAATCTAAAAATGTTCTTAGAGAATATAAACAATATTAAAAGTAGATATAAACAGTATTAACAGTTGATGTCATAGGAACATGGTGAAATACATTGTAATATATAACATAATTATACCACCTTTGAGATTATATATAATACACACACATACACACAAAATGCAGAAGAAGCTCTTAGTCTTTGCTTAGTTAAGCATTAAAGGACCAAAGCCTCAGCTTTTAAAATGTCTTCAAGTCTTATTAAGCAATGGTTCTTGATCTTGGCTGGCTATCAGGACTGGGGTCTGGTTAAAATAAAAGAGGCTACAGGTCTGGTGTGGTGTGTGCACTGGTGTGTATGATTCAGAAGGCCTGGCATGGTGTCCAGTCCTTACTAATTTTTGTTCTCTTAGCTTCCTCATTGTAAACACTGGGGCAGAGAAACTGCATCAGGTAATTCCTCTCTACTTTGAAGATTGTGCAAACATTTCAACCAGCAGTAGGAGTTACACTTCAAGATACCTTGACTGTACCATCCACGGATTCATAGACCAGGAGGTACCCAGTGACTGATGCCCGGGGAGGTTGCCATGTGAGTAGAGCTGTCTCTGACTGAACCTCAGTAGCAGTCAAATCTCTCGGAGAATCAAGGTCTAGAGAAAACAAGACAATTAGTATGAAGAAGTCGGTATGTGAAGGACAGGGATTGTAGCTGGGTCTCAATAGGACCAGGTGCAAGTTTTCTCTGCTGCAGACTTAAGTGATCTTAGGCAAGAACCTTCCCAGTCTGGAGATGAGGTTGAGCCACGCGATCTCTGGCTCATCTCATCACAAGGGCTGGGTTAGCATGAGCCAAGCATGGTCCTGATGGGTGTTGTTAGTGTTTGGGAGAAAGATCCTGCTGTGAACATCATTACTAATCCCTCTCATTTCTAAATAAGAACACAGGCGAATGCTAATATCAGCACTCACTCTGCCTGGGAGGATGTTTCCTCCATTTCCCTGCTTGTTGATGTTGGTAAAAAGATCTCCATGTATAAAAACCCAACGGGCATCTAGGAAAACCTGCCGAAAGGCTCTTTCTCTTCCAAAATACCTCCCTGCCTGGAACATGGATCATTAAATGCTAGGTTTAGGGCCAGTGGGGACTGTTTTTCCACTTAAAACAATCCCTTCTCTTAAAATCTTTTCCTGGTCCATGGGAGAGCACAAGGTCATTTCAGTTTAAAAGGAAATGGTGTGTTTCTTCAGGTCTTGATTGAGTGGACACTGGTGAATTTAACTGATGGTGACGTCATCACATTGCACGGGTCTGACTTAAGAAAGAAGAATTGGTGAGGGGTTACTGTTTAAGATAAAAGCTGTGGGTGGGTGTCTCAGAAAGGGAAGCTTCCAGTTCTCAGTGTCTTTTTACCTGTTGTGAACTTGGTGATGAGGGTTGAGCTCTTCAAGGGTCCTTTCTCGGCAAAGATTCTCAGCGTGTATTCTGTGGCAGGTTCAAGGTCAGTCAGAGCATACTCCACTGTGTTCCCGGACACTGTGCGTGTAATTTCTGGCACTAAACATGAAACACACATACCGAGGCAGTTACCTCTCACTTTCTGAGCCATCAGAGAACTTGGCAAACAGTGCATGCCTCTCCTTCTAACACAGATATTTTCATTGACCCTGCAGAAATGGAGGTTTGTTTCTGAAATGACTCACACCCTTTCCTCTCTCTTGAGTGTTCACCTCATGTGCAAAAGATTTATCATATGGAGACTGGATTTTTCCAGGCACCAAATCAGAAGGAAGGGGAACTGGGGGTCAGGAGATTTTGTTCCACATGGTATGTCGGCTGGAATAGCTTTGCAGCTCAGACCCAGGAACAAGCTACAGGCAAATAGTGGGTAACATTTCCAAGCCTCAGGCATCTCACATTTAATTTGTCCCATTGCTTGTTCTTCCCTCTTTTTAATTTACCCACGTGTCCCTTTATACGTTAACCAAATGTTGTCAAAATAATTAGGCTGAGGGAGTCACAAAAATTGGGCAGCTGTAGACATACAAGTTTACTTGATTACTGCCTTCCAGATCCGCTCATCACATTTAATGGTAGAAAGCAAACCACAGTGCCCAGGCCTGTGTGTTCACTTCCTAATAAGGGTTATTTACCATCATAGTTTGCCCAGGTGTGGTATTTAATGCTAAAACTGGGAAAGTCCCAGGTAAACTGGGACAAGTTGGTCACCCTTTCCTGTCCCCACTGATCTGTCTTCTGGGTCAGGCCCTTTGTGAACCCTGAATTCACAATTTCTATGATTCCCATGACCTATACCTTGATATATGTTATTCGAGGCAACTTCATCCTTCCTGACTGAAAAGAATTTTTTCACAGGTAATACTTAATAATTAAAGACTCTAGACTCATTCTTTGAATAGGGTGAGAGCTACTTTCTGAGTAGTAAAAAGAATAAACACAAACATGCTTCTTCCCCTCACCTCCACTTTTGTTCTGTCTTCACAAATAACTCTTAGGTGATAGCTAGGATTAAATTAAAACTTTCAGAAGTCCCAGGAACAGATATTGTCACCAAAAGCAAAACTATAACTTGAATTATAAAATATAAAATTTATATCTACTTGGTAGTAATAATGGCAAAATTCTTTTTAGAGCAGGTCGTTGTAAAACTGTGGATTGCTTCATTGAAAGGACTTCCTTTTTCTCTTTATTATTTGTGTTTCATTTACTTTCTGGTGGTTATGGTTTGCTGGTGCCCTAAGCATATGCTGGTGCCCAGTCTGCCAACTAGGTAAATTAATGTAGGTGTTTGCAAAAACAAGGAAATGTAGCTTCTGACTGTTCAATTAAATCTGCTCTAAGTGGACTCTCCTGTGGTCTCTGAGAAGACCAGGCCTCTAGCACTGCCTGAAGCAGTCATTTTAAGATTTTTAGATATATTTTTTTATATTTTAAAAATATTTATTTAAATTTGACCAGAGAGGGTGGGAGGGAGGGAGGAGGGAGAGAGAGAGAGAGAGAGAGAGAGAGAGAGAGAGAGAGAGAGAGTGGAGAAGAAAAGAGAGAGAGAGAGAGATTGAGGAGAAGGAAAATAAAAAGGCAAGCCATCAGTCTGGGACTAGAACTGAGGTTGGCCATGTGGGAGTCCAGTGCCCTTAATCACCACGCCACCTACTGGGCCCAAGATTTTTAGATTCTAGACTCATTCTTTGAATAGGGTGAGAGCTACTTTCTGAGTGTCTCATACAGGTGGGAAAACTAGCAGAGAAGAGGGACAGTGTAGGAAAACATATTATTTCTTGCCATTAAATGGTCTACTAGGCTCCCTGGAGCTTGCACTCAAGAGCCATGGACTACTACTGGCCTTTCAAACCTATCCATCCATGTTTGTCATCTTATACCAAATCTGCCATGGAGGTGGAGAAGGAAGAGCAGGAAGAATTGTCAGCAGAATGGACACTCGTCAGGGTGAGGAGAGTTTAGACAGAACCTTACCTCTCTCCCCTGTGTAAGAGATGACATAACTGTCCACAGCGGCAATGGCTGGCTGCCACATGGCCAGTGCTTCTGAGTCAGTAATGTTGGCTGTCACCAGGCCGGATGGTCCATCCAAAGCTGCAAAGAAAGATGGTTGAAGAGTGGAATAGTCTTGGGGTAAGACATCAGATCTCATCTGCTTGCTTTTTATGCTGTTTATGGACTCTTGATGTTAGGACAGTGTCAACTGCATGGAGGGTAGTTTAGGGCCCCAGGCCTGAAGTTAGGCTGAGACAGCTTTGAGTCATGACTCCGTCTCTTGCTGGGTGGTTTACTTTAGATTTCTATTTCCTCACCTTAAACTAGGGGTAATAATTCTGACTTGATTTTTCCCGAGTACTATTTTGATTTTCATATAATATCGGGTTGTATAAAAGTCGTGACACATTTTTGCATAAAAAATATGTCATGACTTTTCCAACAACCCAATACTGTAGGTGAAAGTGCTGTGTATATTGAGAAGGGCTGAACACATAGCAACAATTATCATTATGGTTCCTATAATTTTCCTTGGGGAAAGAACATACAACACAAAAGAAACTCACATAGGTAAGACTGTCTAACGCTTTTGTGGACTTTGAGTGCTATCTCTGGTTAGGTGGCTTGACTTATCTGGTGGCTTCTCTGTCTAGCACATCTGTACCCTTTGGAAAGTCATTTTCCCTCTCCAAACTTCAATTTTTTTCAGCTGCCAAAGAGTGGCTTTTATAGATTTAAAAAGACAACTTGTGTAATGTGCTAGGAAAAACTCTTAATTGCTATTGCTGTTAATATGTCTGTTAAAGTTACTTGGCATCTAAAACATGATTTTTCCAATGATTTGTACTGAGAAAGAATGGGTATGCAGGAGGAATGTATCCTTGGCTTCTTTTAACTGACAACTTCCCCTCCTCAACCTCCCTTTTTCAGAAGCCAACTTGTATGTGACTATTTCTCTCTTGCTTCTGCATTTACTATTCAATTACTCCCACAGCAGCCCTGGGAGGATAAAGGGCAACTATCCTCAGCTCATTTCACAAATGAGGCATATGAGCCTCAAGAGAAGAAATAACTGGCCTGAGAACCAGGGTGTGGGAGAGTAATTTTAAGAGTCCATACCCACCATCCCTTCAGTTCTTTCCCATTTCATAACATATGTACATGATCTCCTTTAACTGGTGATAACAACGGGGTCATGGGTGGAAAACCATCCAGCTTTTTCAATCTGTTGCTATGAAAAACCCATGAATAAAATAATTCTTTGGGGATTTAAGGGTCTGTGTGGCAGGGCAGATAGGACTTTGGGTTCAGATGGGATGTCCTAATTGGATATTATCAACTCTTTTAGGCAATTAGGATATTTTTAAAATTTCCTGTGAGGCTCATTCTTTGAATCCCTTAGTGAACTGGATTGGGTAATTGTTCATATATCAAAGGATAAGTTGTTTGGAGACATGGCTGCCTGAAGAGAAGTTTTCCACTTCATTCTCTCTCAATGCGATTCATTATTACTCCTTCTTTACAGTGTACTGTACAACTCAGGTTGTAACAGGAAAAATAACCCTTTAGTTTAGAAGAAGAGAGGGCACAGAGTCAGACTGAATTACATGCAAATTTGGTTCCAGCGTGTGCTAGTCCTGTGACTTTGCCAAGGTTTTTAAGGCCTCTGGGGTTCAGATGTCTCTTTTGCAAAATGGAAATAACCGATGTGGGGGTTAAACATGAAGGCTTTGGCAACAGTGTCTGGGGCGCAGTAGCTGCTAAACAGAGAAGAGCTACTTTATAGCAGTCACCATTAAATGTCCTTGAGAAGCACCTGTTGGAGGGATTATCAAAATGGTTCCAAATACTAGGCAGTGAAATGAAGGAGTTTGTGGACAAATATGCACCTTCATTTACTTTAACAGCTATTTTACAGATAGAGTTCCATGTGACCCAGACCACACCCCTGGAAGGAAGCTGAACTGTACCCATTTTACAGAGAAGGAAATTGGATCCCAGGGAAATTAACTGACATCTTATCTAGCTAGTAAGTAGTCGAAGTGGGATTTATACCAAGCTCAGTTTGACTCCCAAACTTGGGCTCCTTCTTCTATGTAATCCAAGAAACAGAAGCCCAAGGAGATTATAAATTTGGTGCACCTAAGTTTAACCAATTTATAAGAGGCAGGGATGAACTAGGAAGAAAGCCTTTGGCACTCTAAATTTGGTTCATTATCTACCATGATTTTGTAAATAAAATTTTTTTTTCCAGCTGCTGAGTCATAAGCTATCAAGGTAAGGGTGAGAAATATATAGTATGCACAAATGATCTCTGAAAAACAAAAGCCAAATGACAACACACCTGTGGTGAATGACCCTGAGACAGGCTCACTTTCTTCAAAGCCCTTCATGGCGATGACACTGACAAGGTACTCCATGCCAGGAATGAGCTTCACCAGCCTGGTCTGAGTTTTGGTTCCATCTACAGTTACCATTGAGGGTGTACCTGGAATAGAGTGAAAGCGAGGTTGAGAAAGACGAACCTCATGAAAGCTTATTCACTGTTACCCCAGGAATGGGTGTATCTGATTTGGAAAAACAACTGTATCTTTATCCAGTACCATTTTCTTAACTTTTTCTCATTTACTCCTACCCTTTGGCATAAAGGAAGAGGTCTCATTTTTTTGTATAATGCTTTTTTCCATCGGTGCAGATGCCAAAAACCACGTCAGGAGAGGAAAAAACATGAAGTCAAAATGTACTAAAAATGGCAACTTTCCGTTCAGTCGATAGCTGGCATGTTATGCAAATTTCCTTTTTTTATTTCCTTACAAATAATATGGGAAGTAATGTATATCTGATCTATTTAAGCCATTGTCTTGGTTTAGGATTCTATAGACTCCCTTATGAGCAGAAATTCTGTTTAAGAAAAAATGGTCATGTTCAAATTTGTGCAGTTTCATTTATTAAAAAATCAAGAATTTATACTTCTTAGAAATTTGGGTCTGGTAAAGAGCTTGCACATCAGCTGATCAAACTACCTACAGAGATACTACAGCATTGAAGAGGTTTTCGACACTCTTTACACACTTTCAATGACCAGTAGTTTGCTACCTTCTGGAATGTTTTCAGACAGATTTCTCCCTGAGGTCTCTGTGATAGTCTGTGTGCTCTGAACTAAAACCTAAAACTCACAGCTCCCCACTCTACCCTGAGAAAGACAGATTTTGGCACACAAAGGCCAAAACTTACATGTAGCTAAGACTAACTTCTCAGAAGAGTGTGCTCAAAAAGAAAAGGATTAATGTACTTGGCCTTTCTTTTCACTGTGTGCAAGTGATACTGGGGATCTATTTCTCATACATTATTAGAATCTCAAGGCTATAAAAGGTCTTCATACAATGTAGTTTACAATGTAGTTTCTTGCAAGGATCTCATAGCACTTTCCAATAGGGTCTCTTCAGGCCTCAAAAACAAGAAAGTAGATTTCTTTTGATCATGATGTTGAGAGGTGGGGTATGAGGATTATTATAGTCTCTTTTATTATTACACCTAAAACCTTCATACTCCTTCTCCCCAACCCCTTTCTGAGTCTCTTACCTCCTGTAATGGGCACATAGGTAACCCGGAAGCTTTCCACCTGGGCAGTGGGGCCCATCCAGCTGAGGGTGGCTGAGTTTTCAGTGATGTCTGAGAAAATGATGTCCTTTGGGGAACCCATGGCTGTCAAGGAGACAACACAAGAGAAATCCAGAAACAGTTAACTATCTTGCTCATCAATTGCTCTTCCTGGATTCCTTATCCAGAAAATCTTATTGCTTAGAGTTTGGGTCTGAGCCAAGCCTTTATGATAGAGAATATGGTCAAGTTGTGATTTGACAGAAACAATCCTTCTTTCCTTTCGGGTACAGGGCCAGGACTGTAGAGCAGTCATTTGCTGTTGTTCAAGGAGATTCTTAGCATCACAGCTGATTTCCAAGGAAGTGACAAAAGTGATTTTACAGATTGAAATATGCCCCCTTTTATTTTTTGTTTTTAGCATTTTTTTCCAAATCTTTACTTTCTAGTTTCTTCTAGTAAATAATAACAAGACTTGACAATTGTATAGTTCTTTGCAAGTTATAAGGATTAATCGTATAAAATTCTCTGAGAAGGTATGGTCATAATTATTTTGCAGAGGGTCAAATGGGGGATTCCCTCTCCAATGAACATCCTTACGATGTGACCTTTCTGGGTCCCAGGACTGGGTGGCAGAGCCATGCACAGCCTGGAAATAATGATCAGTGGAAATTAACCTTGATAAATCCATTGTTAGAGTGGGTTCGGAAGGAAGTCCAAAGTTAGAGGATCAACCTCAGGCCTATTACCAAAGCAAACACCCAATGATGCTAGGTCTACCTGTGAGAAAAGCCATAGCCAGGGGAAAATTTCTGCCTCCTAAATGCCTCCTCCCCAACTCAACTTCCTTTGGCTTTTTTCTGTGTAATTTTTGGCTTAGATTTATGCCCTTTTCAGCTGACCACGCTTAACCAGAGAATTCAGGAAACAATTTTCAGGCTCTAGGGAGCTTACTTCTTCATCTTTTCCCTTCTTTAACCCACGCTGATCATTAAGTTTTGAAACCCACAGAATTTTGGAGAGAGTGTTTTTCTCCATATTTCTGTCTTCTTTCTCTCATCTAAGACATCTCCTCCTACAGCTTTCTTCAGTGACTGGTAGCCACCCCCAGACTCTGGCTGCCTGGCTTTTTGTCCTGTTCATGGAAGGTTTTAGAAAGCACAGATCTCTGGAACCTGGAATATCTTGATTGTCCAAATACTCCTGGGGGCTGGCCCACTGAGTGCAAATCCTTTCACTTCTGTGAACTTCAGTCACTGCATCTGCCCAGTGAGAAAAGTGGCACCTACCCATAAGAATGCTTCAAGGATTAGCAGAGAAAATATATGTAAACCCAAAAGCACCTGACAAACAGTAAGAAGTCAGCAAGTTTGATTGAGTATCTTTTAGCTTTTCTACCATGTGATTCTTTCCTCCAAGGACGCTGAATTTTAAAAATGTCCCCAAGGGAAGATGGTGATAGTCCAGCTGAAAAAATACTCCATTGAGTTATGTAAGTTCAGGCATTGAGGATCTCCCTCTGCCAGCCTGACCCACTCTAACATTTCCTCTGACAACCTTGTTGATGTAGATTCTGGCACATTTTTGAAGGCATATCGTATGGCCAAAACGTTCCTCTCTAGGTTCTAGTTTCCTCATCAGCACAATGGCAATGATATATCCTGCGTCTTACAAGCTGTAAGAATTAGTGGCCTCTTCCCATGCACATAGTTGGGGGATGTGCTTGGTAAGAGTGGCAGTAAGACTGCCATGTGAGACCTGAAGGAGTGCACATCAATGGTGGAGTTCTGTAGTCAATAGACGTGATGTTTTTGGACAACAGATCTTCAAAGGTGGGAAATACTCATTCCAGCATGTCTCCTTCTGCCATGACTAGCACTTCGAGGTCTCTAGTCCCATAGTAGATGTCTGTACACTGAACCACACCTACTAAAAACTTGGGAATACCTAAGAAAGGCAATGTTTATTGTCTCTCTTTCCAAGAGGACATTGTTATCTTAAAAATCCACACTCTGTGGAGGAAACTGAGAGATTAGAGGACATAGAAGCATTAAAAGTGGTTATAGACTTTGGAGACAATGTGGGAAGAGAGTGGGAAAATGAGGATAGTGTAAAGAAAGAAATTAAGGAGGAAAATAGAGAAACAAACATTTATGGGACACAAATGGGTTATTATCAGTTGATAACATGATTTTTTTTCCCCCTAAACTGGATTGGTGTGAAACGTATTCATGCTGGGTAAATTCAACTTATAAGCAAAGTGATATATAGTGATTAAATGTATAAAATAAAATATAAATAAATAAATAAATAAAAACCAAACAAAACGAAACAAACCAAACTTCCACTAAGGAAATAATTACTAAAAACTTTCAAGGAGATTGAAGAGGGCCTCTATCTGCACTCTGTGAAAAGTGACTTCTCAAAATTTGGACCAAATATCTTTGATTATGTGATCATTGAAAATCATTTAAAAAAATTCTCTACCCCTTGCACATGTATTTATTGAACACTTAATGTGTGCCAGGTCCATACTAAGCTAAGGAGACAGCTTCTATAAGAAATATGGTTTAAGAGTTAGGATTTTGGTGTTGGATTGATCTATATTGACCTGCTCTGGTCTTATGAGATACAAATACCTTTGTCTTTGGGTTTCAGTTTCAACATCTATGAAATGGGGCCTGTGAGGCACTAACTTTGTTTGGTCAGGTGTCATAGAGATTCAGGGAACTGAAGCATGTCAGTTGCCTGGCTACATGTGGCTTTGTAACTGGTGGTTTTCATCTTTATGCTTCTTAGATGTATTATGTGAGTTAGGAACAGAGGTTGCCAAACACAAAGAGTTCACTCGTGTTGAAAGGCAATTTGCTAAGCAGTGCTTCTACACGCATGCTGACCAGGCCTAGGCACAATGTCCTTGCAACTCTGATATGCACTTTGGTTTACTGGAACTGAGCTGAGGTGTTTAGAGACCACCTGGCTGGAAAACATGGGGTAGTATGTGGGTGGGGAGTATATTCTGGGAGTTGGGAGAATAGGTATTGACTACCCTATTAGCATTGGAGGTGGAAGAAAGTACCAAGAATGTATTGTGGAGGTGGGGAATAGAAATAGGCTAAAGAGACATTTCTGGGTGCTCGCTCTGAGCACCCTAGATGGGCTATTGGAGCCTCAGAAGAGAATGACAAATCATGTCATTTTTGCTAGGCTTTCTTCCCTATTTTCTGCCCATTTGGAGACCCTCAAAATATTACATGGAAGCATATTGGTATTCAATTTCCTGGAAGTAAAAGAAACTTGTGGAAACTCTGGGACTCTCTAAGAAGGATCAAGAGGCTCAAACCACACAGAGGAAGAGAAGTAATTGTCAATGAAGGGATTGATGCATAGAAGAAACAATAAAATTAATAACCTAAATGTCTACCAATAGGGAAGTGGTTAAGTAAGTAATCCATCTTTGGGATCCACCAGTAAGAAAAAAACACATTTAATGTATGAATAATAATAATAATAATAAATAAATAAATAAGTAATAATAAAAAAGAAAAAAGGGAAGAGACATAAGAAAAAGAAAAAAACACATACACAAAACAAAGCATGGAAGAGTGGGCAATATGGTAAATGTTGTGTTTCTAAAAAGAGTAAAAAAAGAATGTAAATGTATGTCTTAACTTTATTCATTTGTATATAGTATTTGTGGAAGGACACACAAGAAAGTACTAATATCAGCTGCCTCTAGATAGAGCAACTGGGTGACAGGGATACAGTAGAATAGAGACTTCACTGTGCATCCTTTTTTACTTTAAACCATGTAGTCCATTAAAAAATAAAGTTTACATTAAGTTACCAAAGTAAGAATAGCTAATATTGTTACTATGGACAAGGAAATTCTGCAAAGCTCTCAACATTCATGTTATTTAAACCTCGTGGTTAATCTTTGAGGTAAATTCCATTTTCCATCTGAGGAAACGGTAAGAGATGGAGCCATGATTAGACTCCAAGGAATCTGCCCAGAGAACATTGACTCAACCACTGGGCTAAATTGCCTTTTACTGTCTTCCCTCCTGTCCCAAACACTCAGTGCTGGCAGCTCAAGTTCAGAACAGGAGCCTCATGAGCTTGAGGGGGAACTGTCACAGTTTCTTATCAGGAGGAAGAGGGACAAGATGTTACAGAGAAGGGTTTACAACAGTGTGAGGGAAGAAAGAGAGAAGAGAAAGGAAGAAAAAGTAGAAGGGAAATTTAATGAAGCTGATGACGTGAAAATTAGACATCTGCTATGCTCAAAAGTCATCTCTCCTGTCCTCTCCTAGTCCTGGAGTGCAGGCATACAGGCACTTGTGAATGCATGCATGCACATGCACACGTGCGTGCACACACACACACACACACACACTCTTCTCCTTGGCCCCAGGGAAGGAAATCCAAAAGAGGGCTTTCCAAAAGAGCAGAATCTGCCTTTTCTTATCTTTTGTTAAAAAAAAAAATCATCATTATTCATTGTCTCTTTTGCTTTAAATCTGCAGGGCTTCTAGAAAAAAAAAGATTAGTCAAACAGTATGAGTGATCAGAAGCAAACTTTGAAAAGAGAGCAATGTTTATACATCAAGGCCAAAATGAGGCTCTGGCTCTGATCTGGAATGGTTTTACGGGCAGTCACTGGGAGGAGGGGACCCAGACCTCTAGTCAGGGGTAGGATGTCTGTGTTAGTAAGGAACACCATTCTCCTTTTCATTAAGTTGCTGCCTGGCTCCCAGCATTTTCGCCAAGTCTTCAAATACTGATTATGATTTCTATGGATGGTTTCTTGGAGCTTATTAGGTCCTGAAACTGATCATGATAAAATACTTATCTTTAGATGAAGAGGAGAGGATTTTTGGTTAATGTTCCACTCTATGCTGGTCAGAGATGGTAAGTATGTATATTCGTTGGTTAGCCATCATCCAGTCTATGTATATTGAATAATATAACCATAATCTGGTCATTTGGGTGCTACTGCAAATCTGTCTGTGTGTTCTTAGGCAAATCACTTGTCCTCTCTGGGTTTCAGTTTCTTTATGCACAAACACAAGAGGCTGAGCTATGTTATTTCTCAGGTCATCTTTAGCTCTCTCTTTGAACTTGCAATTCTTCCCTCTGGTTCCTCTTGAAGCAGTAAATACTATGTTTCTATATCTCTCTGTTTCATTAATGAATTTACCCCACCTGTTGTAGATCTTGCCTTTTCCCTCTGAAGAGTTATATTAGTCTTAGCATTTGTATTAAAAAAGAGTCATGTTATTTATTTATTTACATAGTTTTTGGAGAGGTTTTTGCTATAGGGTGCATGCACTCACCAGAAAGACAGACAGACAGAAATACAGAAAGTGAAAATCACCGCTCCCCCCAGAGGGGATGGCCATGCTGCAGTCCCTTCTCCTCGATTCTCCTCTCAGGCTTTTGGGCACACATGCACATGTGCCCAGTGTGAGTTTAAACCACAGGGTCTGGAACTTGAACAACAAGCAGTCAACTACATGGGAGTCCAGAGACATAGCCATTACACTACCTGCTGGTCCCAAGAGTCATGTTATTAATCACTTTTTTTCTTTCTTAAATAGCTCATCCGGAAAAGGGTTTTCATTTTTCCCTGTAGGTTTATTTTAAGAGTTGTTAGAAGGGGCTGGGCCTGCAGTGGTTAGGAGAGCTGGATCCCACATGGCGAACTGCAGTTAGAAACCTGCATGTGCATGTGCAAAATTTGAAAACTTGTTGGACACATGTGTGTGCATGCCCAAAATCCTGATGAGAGGGAAGAATAAAGGAAAAAGGATTATATCATGACTGCATCCTACATGCCTTCTTTTGCTTTCTCTTTCCTTTCTCCTTCTCTCTCACTTCCCCTCTTTGGAAAGTATGCACATATCTACTGACAATAGAAGGAAAGCAAGACAACAATAAAGAGAACACAAGCAAGCAAGCAAGCAATCAAGCAAGAGGTTGTCTGGGTGTTGAATAAGGTTTGTGAGCTTTGGGGCTGGACAGTGGTGCAGCAGTAATATAATGCTCTACAAGGCTGACTCTAACGGGAAGATTCTGGACTCGTGTCTAGAGACCTTCCTGAGCTTGCTGGGAGCATGAATTTCTCTAATCTGAGGCTGGCTGAAGTGGGGGTGGATCATGCTGTGAAGACCCTGTTATGGGTGACTCTTCATTTTTCTGTCTTTCTCTCTCTCACTCATTGAATAAAGAAAGAAACTGAAAAAATTAAGTTAGTGAGCTTCACAAAGAGTAATTGCTTGTTGACTCTGCCAGATCCCTCCTATTTCCTTGCTGAACCACAGTACTGATTGTTCACGTATAGCATTTATAAATATTAATCTTTATAGGTAGAGGTGCCACTTTTCCATTATCCCGTCACCTAGTGTAGCTTGAAATGTTTGACCAAATAACAAGGAAGTTTATCACTGGATAAAATCTAATGAGATGATACATAGAAGAAAGAATCTTTGGAATTGTTAAAAAAAAAGTGCTAATTATAATGATGATGCTGCATTAATGACAACATGAATAGCTCTTATTTGTTAAGCCTTGCTATGTGCTAAGCATTGCGTATGCACTTTACCTCATTAGTTATCTCATTTAATCCTCACAACGCTCTTAAATAAATGGCATCATACCTTTTTTTTTGTATAAAATTAAGGCAAATTGTCAAAGGTTGCACAGTCTATAATTGGAAGAGCCAGATCTGAACACAGGCTTGCCTGTATCTACAGGTCTTATAATTACCCAGTCCTGTTAGAAGACCCACCCATGTTGTAACTTTTCTCTGACCTCTCCTGATTATTTACAGTACCTGTTGTTGCTATAGCACTGACTGGTTGTGATCGCCTTCCATTGCTTATTCCATAGAGTTCAATTTCGTATTCAGTGGCCTCTCTGAGGCCAGTTATATCCCTGGTACGTTCAGGGGCAAGTAGGGTTATTTCCAGTGGCTCAGATTGCTTTTTGGTATCTCTGATTTTGAGAACAAAATTGTTGAAGACCCCTTCATCAGCTGTCCAGGACAGACGGAAACCGTCTGGGGTGGCATCTGAAACCAGAAGGTTGTCAACTTCTGGTTCTGCTTCTAGATGGGGAGAAAATGGTGGGAGAAGGAGGAAAGAGAACATCATTTACCGGCCTGTGCAATCTTCTTTCCAGTGGGGGTATCAATATGCAGTGATGCCCCAGCTTTCACAGATAGAAGTGTCCTGAGATACCAAAATAAAATCATTCAACATTAACAAGTGTGGTAGGGCTGGGGTAGAGAAAGATGGAGTTGACATGTTCAATACAAGCCGAGTGCATGCTTGTATATGCGAGTTTTGTCTAAAAAGCAATTCTGTAAATCCACATCTGGACTCAGCATTTGCTCCGCCCATATATTATTAAACAAGTTCAAAGCCAGTAACTTGTTTACATTTGCTGTCTTTCTTCAGTGGCTGCATGCCCATCCTTTGTGAAACCTTTTTTCTTTTTGAAAAGACAAATAAACCAGCACTAACGATCTGTAGAACTGCCCATGGTGATACTGCTGATTATATTTCCCCTGAGCCTGAGCAAAACGACTTTTAAATTGTTATGGTCTTTTTGCTTTGTTCTTGGAGCTGTTTCACTAAAGAAGACTTTCTTGCTTGCTTAATTATCTTTTATTGCTATTTTAATAATGAGATAAGTGTTCAGATGGTAGAACTGAAGCTTAGGACCCTTAAATTACACACTTCAAACACAGGATTTCATCTTGCATTGCCTTAACTAGACAAAACTCAATGTCAATATGGATTTCTGAGTTTCCCAAAATGTACTCAGAGCAAACGATTCCTGTTTAATACTCTTCCTTAAGAAGTATCCATTGTCAGGTAAGTTTTGGAAATACTGCCTGGATAAGTCCTGCTTAGAGATTTACCATGCTCATAAGGATGTTCAAGGATCTTGTTTAACTCAATGTTTCCAAACTTATCTGAATATGGAACTTCTTCACCAAGTAGGGTCTTTGAATACTCTATGGCTATCTCTAGAAAGACTTTGGGAAACACAGATTTTGACTGTTAACATTGTTAATGTTGCATTTTTCTAGAAATTATTAGTCTTACAAAAGTTATGGATTTAGTCTGTGTCGAAGACTTTTTCCTGGTATTATTGTTAACCAATAAAAGTTCATATCTGACAAGTCCAATGTCAAATCCACTGGGTAAGTATGTTAAGATCACAGTTGAGACTTTCAGATGACAAAGGTTTTAAACACATTTTCAAAATATACTCATTGGTATATTTCTTTGAGAAGGCTGAAATATAGCTGGTGGCCAGCCAGGATGAACACAAGGGTGGTAATATAAAATAAGCATATAAGAACTATTGACAAGGTATGGTCCAAAGGATTTGAAGTACCTAGTGGAAACATTTCGACCTTCTCATTCCTGGAGTGGAAGTGGGGAGTGCTCATTAGATATATGAGACAAGAGGGAATATGGACAAAACATGACAGAACAGGTCCCATCCATGGATTAACTAGGGATATGGACAAAGATGTTACAGTCATGGCAGTCTGGGAGACAGATTAAATGGAAAGAGGGTCTAGGCAGAGGAAAGAATGGCTCACTTGAATTGAAATACCTGTAACAATCTCAGCCCTCAAGGGCTTGGTTTGGTGCCCTTGGGTGAAGCCAGAGACCATAACCTCATAGCCAATGCCTGTTATGAGGCCTCTAAGCTCCAGCTTCCTCTGGGTTCCTGAAAGTGTGAATTCCTGGGGGTCCAGCAGCTTTCCAGAATCCACCACGGTTACTAGAAAGCTGTCAAAGGCATTCTCCGATGCCATCCAGGAAACTGTGAACCCGTAGGGATTAATGTCGGAAATGGTTAGGTTTTCCAGAAGGGGCAGAGCCTCTGAAAGAAGGGAGGAGTGAAAATAACTCAGGTTAGCAGCACTAACTCTGCCAGGGTAGCACAAGTTTCTAAGAACACCGATAGACAGCCCATCAGTCATTCGATGTGTTACATGAACAGAAAGTGAAAATTTAGTAAGAATGTATTAGATATCGGATAACATTGTGTGATTCTCTTAACAAGTCTATGAAGTAGGCATTATTCCTGTTTTGAAAGTGAGAAAATGGAGTTTCAAAGAGGTTGACAGACATGTGAATCATGTGATGACTTGTGAATTGTAACCAAGTCACACGCTAACATGTAATAGAATAAGGTTTTTAGTTAGCTCTGATTCTAAAGGTCATGAATTTTTTTTTCTCTATAAATATAACATATTCTTTTGGGTTTAGGGCCCTTTCTTTACTTCCCTTTGGCTTCTGGTCTTGAAATAAATCTTATTTATTTACTTATTTATTTATTTTTAGAGAGATATTTTGCTCTAGGGTGTGTGTGCTCACCAAAGAGACAGGGAGACAGAGAGACAGAAACTGAGAAATCACCCCTCCCCCCAGGGGAATGGCTATGCTATAATCCTTTCTCCTCCAATCTCCTCTCTGGATTTTGGACACACATGCACATGTGCCTGGTGTGAGTTTTAAGTCACAGGTTCTGGGACTCCAACCATGAATGACTACATAGGAGTCCAGTGACATAATCATTATGCCATCTGTGGGTACCTAATCATCTTTATTTATTCATTTTGCAAATGTATTTCCTTTTTGGTGTACTTTACATGTTTTTAATCCAGTTCACATTTGAATCAAGTTGATTAGACCAAGTAGTGGTGCATCCTCATGAGCTGAGACAAAAACTAAGTATCTTTTTCAAGTGTTAAAATTAATAATTTATTACTATGACCTGGTAAGGAATTCTAAGTTTTTCTAATTTATTTGCTGTTTGTTCTTTTGGATAAAGTTAGAAAATAAGGACATATCTAGATTTTCAGTAAATTCTGGCATCATCATTTCTTCATTCATTCAGCAAACATCTGTGCCCTAGGCATTCTATTTCTCAGATGAGGATTTCCAAAAGGAGTAAGCTTATATCCGTTAAATTTTTACCAGTACTTTCCAACTGAGAAAGCATCACAATCATTATCTCATTTAATTTTTTCAGATCTCTGTAAAATAGAATTGCTACTCACCCCTCCACCGCATGAGAGCTAAAGGAAACAGAGAGGTCAATGACTTGTCCAAGGTCACAGATCTACAGGTAATGGTTAAGCTGGGATCCAACAGGGTCTTCTGACTCCAAGTTCTATGTTCTTTCTGCACCCCAAGCCAACTCTAATTAGCAATCCCCATTAGAGCCAAATAATCTTGAGGCATAAGCAGGATTAGTGGAGAAAGCCTAGTACCTCCTCTCTAACAAAACAAAACAGAAATGATAAATGTGTTTACTTTTTCAGAAGGAGCAAAGAGGCAGGAATTCCAAACTAACTTTGTCTAGTTTTGAGCCTTCTTTTCCACTGCAGAGAGATAAGTGACCTTGAACAAACGCCCAGGGTCTAATCCAGGGGATGTAAAGGAAAATGTTCTAAAAAGACATTTGGTGATTGAATGAATAAGTGAGTGAATGCCCTTATCCCCTAAACAGAGACTTAAACTTTGCTGCTACTTGGACATTTAGTACTTATTTTGAAATGCTTGGTATTTCTTTGAAGGCTTTTTTTTTTTCCCCACATAAATATCTCCCAAGAATCATAACTCTATCAAAGGCAAAGATGAACTCTCACATGCTGTGTAAACAACCTTACTGGTCTGCAAGACAAGGATCTCTGATTCTGTTGCTGGGTTTTGTTTAGATAAGTGGCCTCTCTCTTTGATAGCTGGCCTCCATAGGATCAAAGCAGTGAATTTCGATTGAAATGAGAGTGTTCAGGCAATTAGTCAATCAAGGGTTGGCTATTTATAGTCCTGCCTATTCAGCTTTTTCTCTTGTTTAATATGCTTCTTTTAAAACGCAGTCTTTTCATGTCATGGATTAGCTGGGACTGTGCTGTAACTGGCTCTAGGCTTCCCAAGACCAGCTCTCCCAGTCTCCCTTTCTTCTTCCTATTCTGTAGGAGGTCCTGTAAGACGCTGTAAGCAAGGGCCTGATGGGATCCATGGTCATTCGTCCTAGTCCAACATCCTCCTTAAGAAATTATGATCTGCATTAAGAACTGAATTGAATCATGTAATTCACAATAAATTACTGGACAGAAAAAACAATCACTTTTAACCTTACATTAAAGCATATCATAGGCCTATTATTTCTATCTCAGCTAGTTGGATATTTTTAAGAACACCACTTTATACTCCTGGGAGAAAGCAGAAGAAATCTCCCTCCTGGATGCCAGGCAACTAAAATTCATCATGTCTTTTTAATCCCAGAGACAGTCTGCCAGAGGTGCCTGTGGGTATCCTTTCTCCATACATAGGGACATCAGGGATCAAACAGTTAAATATTTGGCAAGTTTAACTAAAAAATTGTACGAGAGGTTTGGAAGCCACAGTGGCTTGAGTTCAAAATCCTTACTCTTCTGGGATACCATACTGCTTCCAATTCAATTTTTAATGGTCTTTATTAACATACAGCGATTTAGATTCTGGGAGAAACCTGGTTTAATATAAAAATTAGATGGCAAATTCTGCCTTCTAAAAGTTATATTAGTGGAAGGTAAAAGACTTTTAAATATTTCCTGAAATTTTCAGCCTCGAGATTTGGTAAATTGACACCATTTGCAGCCTTGTCACTAACTTCTGGGTACTATCAGGAAAGAAAATAGAAAACCATTTTTTGATTCTTATATTATTCTTATATACTTCATATATAATTTGTTATGTAATTCAAAGATAAGCTAGATATTGAGTTTAATGAATAGATGAAGTTTAATTAAGCTTGTAATTTATTTACCATCCTAGATCAAACCTTTGTCTATCTGTTGTTGTATCAATTTTAAGAAGGTTTTTTTCAAATCAAAAAGATAGATCTATATCTGGGGCAGGTGGTTTATACACTGTTTTATCTTGTATGCTTTATGGGCAACATTTCTGTTCCAGGTTTTTACTAACTTAGAATTCACTTTTAGAGTATCCAGAAACTCCAAACTATGGGTCAGACAAAATAGGGCAGCATCAAAACCCTGGACAGGTTTATGCAACTGTTGAGAACACGGTCTCCACCTCTTAAGAGTCTCTGTGAAAGACCTCTCCTTTCCGATGGCATGTGCTCTCTCCTCACAAGTTTATATTTGATATCTTGGCTGCTGTGAATAAGGCAACCTGTGTCAATGGATAATGAAAATGTTGTCCTTATACACAATGGGATACTATGGAGTCTTAAGAAAGGAAGTTCTTTCATCTGCAACAACATGGAGGAACCTGGAGAACATTATGCTGAGTGCAATAAGCCATGCACAGAAAGACAAATACTACATGTTTTCACTTATATGTGGGATCAAAGCAAGTTGACCTCAAAGAAGTAGAGAGTGGAATGGTTGTTTCTGGGACCAGAGTGGGGGATGAAGAAAGAAGAGATATTGGTCAATGGGCACCGTGTTCAGTGAGACAGAAGAAATAAGATTTAGTAATCAATTGCACAGCATAGTGACTGTAATTAATGATAATGTATTGTATATTTCAAAACTGTTAAAAGAGTAGATTTTAAATGTTCTTACCACATACACACACGCGCGCACGCACACATATGCACACACATGATAAGTAAGTGAGGTAACGGATAAGGTAATTAGCTTGATTTAATCATTCTGTGATATATAATAGATATATCAAAACATTACATGTACCTCCATAAATATATACAATTATTTGTCCATTAAAATTTTTTTTAAGTTTAGATTTGGAGTGAAGACTATTTTGGGTTGAATTTTCCTTTCAAATGCCTATTTTCCGCCCCACCCCTTCCCTGTGTCAGAGTTCTAAACAGACAAGTGAGAACCTCTGATTGAGTACCTGTGACGACAAAGGCAGTGAGGGGTCTGGTGGGGTCCCCAGCCCAGGTGGTCCCTGCCACACTAACGTCATAGCCCGTGTTCTCCACCAAGCCCGTGATGTGAGCTTGCTGTGCATCTCCTGAGATTGTAAGTTGCTGGGATTCATGTAATGAGTGAGCATCGCTCACATTGATTATAATCTTTGCAAAAAGCCCAGCTTGAGTGGTCCATGACACGTTGAAGCTGTCGGGAGTAATATTGCTAAGGATTAGCATGCCCAACTGTGGCTCTGGCTCTGAAGAGGAAAGAATGTGGGTAGAGAAAGATATACATGATTAGAGGAAACAATAGATTTCTCCAGAATGTAGCCATAGGACACAAATGCCTCAACATCTCCAAATATTTATAGGAAAGTTGGTATTTAAGGCTGTACCTACACCTGCATTGATCGCAATGATAGAGAATGTAGTTTTCTCTGTGGGTGTGGATTTGTGTTCCTTTAAAGTATAGACATAGCCATTGGGTAGTGTGTATGAATAAAGCTGAACAAGCCATTAGAGAGGTATCTAGGACTAATGTAAAGGGTACATTCTCTACGGTTTGCGGTGTGGTCCTAACCCTAGAAGATGTTCAAAAAAAAATAATAATAACTTCATGGTGCAGTATGCATGGTAAACACTGAATATTAGGTGTTACCATAGATTAGAGGTTCACAAAGAAGTGTGTTAGCATTTTAAAGATTCTGATGGGCTGGTTCTGTAAATAAACCTGTTTGCTTTTGTTAAGGTCAGGATTTTATAACCTTTTGGATGAATGAATATCTTTTCTGAGAATATTCTTTGAACATTTCAGGGAGCTGGTGTTCCACTGATCATGCTTTAGAAAATGCTACTTTGGAGTTTTCTTTTTTTAGTTTTAATAAAAAATCTATTTAGATTGCACAAATTAAAGGTTAATATCTATACTAGGGAAATTGTATTCAAAAACCCAAATGTATGCACTGTAGTAAAATCTATACAGCACACTGAATATTATAAGCTGAAAATGACATCCATTAAAAAATTTGTGTTAGGGACCAGCAGTTAGCGTAATGGCTATGTCACTGGACTCCCATGTACTTGACCACGGTTCAAGTCCTGGACCTGGCGGCTTAAACTCACGCTGGGTGCATGTGTGTGTGTGCTCAAGATCCCGAGAGGAGAATGGAGGAGAAGGGATTGCAGCGTGATCATCCCCCCTGGGGGGTGATTTCTCGCTTTCTATCTCTCTGCCTCTCTCTGTCTTTCTGGCGAGGGCACGCGCCCTGTAGCAAAAACCTCTCTAAAAAAAAAAAAAAAAAAAAAAAAAAATTGTGCAGAGAGCAAAAGTTAAAGAAAAACTTGAAGTTAGTCATTGTATTTTCTTCTCTTTTTTTAATAATTAAAGGGTGCATGCATTCACCAGAGAGAGGCAGAGAGACAGAGAGAGAGAAAGAGTGAGAGAAAGAGTGAGAGAGCTGGAGAAAGCACCTCCCAGTGGGGTGTGGTCATGTTGCAATCCCTTCTCCATTGGTCCACCTTGTAGGTATTTGGGACATGCATGCACACATGTACCATGTCTTTTTCAAGCTGCCGGGCCAGGATGTGAACTGCAGTTGGCTGTGTAGGATCTGATACTTTTAACCACTAAGCTATAGGACTGGCCTGGCCTTGCATTGCATTTTCTTGTTTGTTTTCTTTCTTTTTTTTTTTGGTAGAGGTTTTTGCCTTACGGTGTGTGCACTCACCAGAGAGAGACAGACAGAGACAGTGAGAGGGAAAGTGAGACATCACCCCCCAGGGGAGATAGCCACATCACAATCCTTTCTCCTCCGTTCTCCTCCCAGAATTTTGGGCATGCATGCACACATGCCTGGTGTGAGTGTCAAGCCACTGGGTCCAGGACTCAAACTGTGGTTGGCCATCTGAAAGTCTAGCAACATAAATGCTATGCCATCTGCTGGCCCTAAGGCTTGCATTTTCTAATTAAGATATTAATTTACTGAATAATTTAAAAATGTGGATGGTTTTATACGAGGATAAATTTCTCTTGTCATGTAAAGTCTAGATGATCAGTGAGGAGTACAACTCAATTAATGGGTCCTATATGGCTAGTTTGCACTGAGATGTATGAGACTGGTATTATAAGCTCATTTATCAAGTAATAGAAATGTTAAAATAAATTCAATCCAGACTGTATTTCAGAGAGAGGCAACAGTCCTGGAGGATTGAGATATTAGGGTCAGGATTTAGGATTGGAAAGAATCAGGCTATTGCTTTCAAGGACTTGGGAGGAATTTTGTTTCAGTATCAGTTACGAGAGGAAAGAAGAAGCTCATGAGCATAAGCTTTAAGTGCACAATTGAATAGCATAACTTGATGCCATAAAGTCTTTAAGGACAGAAAGGATCTGGCTCAGTGGCTCAGAAGCAAAATATAGCTATAAGCAATGACATGGGATTTCCTACTTATCAATTAGTTTGAGAAGCTAGTGATGCTACAGTTTTCAGCATTAGTATTGAAAAGTTCCCTCAACCACTACTGAAAAGATAAAATCCCTCAAATGGAGCTCTGTTTTTTTTTTTTTTTCCCTGTGTTTTGCTGTAGAAGTAATCTCACAAATTCAAGTTACATGTTGCAATTCTTCTCATGCTACCAGACAAAGGTTGGCAGTGCCAACACATTCATGCAGGGTAAGACTTAGGTTCATGAAGTCAGCATTATATTCAGCTATCTCTTAGAGGGTAAAGTAAGATACAAGAAAAAACTCAGAAAGAGAATGGTGGTTAAAGTGTGGTCAGTGTTCCATGCAAGTTTTTCTCTGGACACTTCTAACCCTTTGTGACAATTCCTTGATATGCTGTCTGATCCCAGGAAAGATAAACATTAAAACATGTAATGCTGTGAATATTCACCACATGCACCAAGATTTGGATAGATGCTGAATGGAAAGACTTTTCTGACACTTTGTGACAGATACGAGTGGCAGACCAAACATGCTTGACACAGTAAGTGTCAAAAAAGAGCAGTCTGTTTGTAGGAAACCCAGACAAAAGTCTCAAGAACAAGATGCAAACACTGAGTCCTCTCATGCAGTTCTTGGGGCATAACGTAGGGTCCTTTCTTAGCATGCAAAGGGCTCACTATTTAAAATCCTTTTAGAGAGAATAAGTGTAGATTATTCCAAACCAAGGAAGCAAACTCAGCATGCACACACCTCTTTGAATATGACTTAGGAAAACTTTGATTAGAAAGACCACAGGCAGATGATAATAGGTAGTACTGGGAATGATTATTCAAGATCAAATGAAAGGATGGCTTAGAAATTCAACCAAAGCAAATCATGCTAACTTTACACAAACAAGCAGAGCAACTCCAGATGTGAACGGCTGGTTAGGAAAATGAGGTTGACACTAGAGTCCCTTCATTTGGGATGAAAGTTATTTTAAAGCTTTAGAACTCTGATATGGGTTGCTTTACCAAGTTTGAGAAGGATCCAGAGCAACTAGAAGGATACAAAGTGGGTAGTGGGTGATTTGGGAAATGTCATACAGAGGAAGTTCAAAGAAGAGTGAAGAGCTCATAATGGAAAATACCTGTGGTTGCTTGCACCATCAGGGTCCGAGCATGTTGCCCACCAATCAGCCCATGAAGGTGGGCAGTATAATTAGAAGAAGCTCTGAGGTTGGTGATAACAGAGTTGCGAAATGCCCCAGGCACAGAATGCACCACCGTCTCCTGGGGTTGCTCAGAATTACTAACTTCTATAAGAAAGCTATCAAAGGCAGACTCCCGAGCTTTCCACGAGATGGACACACTGTCCCAGGTCACGTTCGAGACAGTGAGGTGGCTAAGGAGAGGTTCGGCTACTAAAGTAAGAAGAAAAAATATGAAAGTGTGTTAATTGAAAACACCATTATAGAGTCAAAATCAAAACACATAGGACTAAATCCATAAAGTTTTAGACTTTACCCCCTAGTAAAGGAAATTGTTCATTGTTGAAAACCAGTTGGAACCATGAGAAACAAATATATATGGGAACTTCAAAACATTCATGGAAAATAGAATTAAAGTATGAGTTTATTTTGCTACAAAACATTTTTGAAATCATGGTATACACTTTCCATGACCTTTCTGAAGACCCCTCATATAGGTTTTGTGAATTTTCTCCTATAGGTTTTGTTATACTTTAATTTGACTGAAATGAGAAATGAATAATGCTGGCTCTCTGCCTTTTCTGTATGACTATCCCAATAATTCATACTCTCATATGGAATGAGAACAGGCCCTTCCTCAACCATGGATACTCTAAATCATAGATAATTTTGACATTACAGTGTCAACCCTTCTCTTGGATTCCCTAGACTATGGGTCTTCTTTCCGTGAACTCTAAGAAAAACTTCTCTATCGGTTCCATAAATATTCTTTTAGTTTTTGTGATGTCATTCCTTACCTGTCAAAAAAAGGTAATGTCTAAAATTGCTGAGAATGCCTAATTATAAATGTACAAGTCTTTTATTTTATTTTTTTCTGAATCTATCTAGGGTTCTCTTGCTGAACGGTGAGAGCATTTGGCATGGTATTTTTGGTACAGATACCACAAATTTTAAAGTGAGACCATTTCCTAATTTTTGTTAGCCAGATTCCATATTTGAACACCATTTGCTACAGATACCACAAGTTTTAAAGTGAGGCCATTTCATTATTTTTGTTAGCCAGATTCCATATTTGAACACTTACTCTCATTTAATTTTTGCCATCTACCATTCATAGTTCTGGAGTCAAAACAGCATGGCTTGGTCTTTTCTTATAAAAATAGAGTTGGAATTAGGGTGGTCTGGATGGTATGGCTAAATCCTGCCTGCATCCGATAAATAATCTTTGCTCTTTCTCTTCATTTTCCAAATTAGGAAAAAAATATAATGCCATCAATACAACTCAATTAAATAACTGGGATATTTGGGTATAATGAGGTCAAAGACACCAGGAAGACAAAGACACCAGAATAACACAAAATGTAATTTTTAAGACCTCTGACTATTGTTGATATCTTTCCAAGTCACAGATAACTCTTGTTATGATTTTTTTGGTTACCAAAGGGAGATGTGTTTTCTCCAGAGTCTGTAAAGCCATCTGGACCGAACTACATTTTGTACTGCAAATGTCTTGATCAGTGATAAAGCAGACATGTGGCTTTATGGAAATCCACCATTGGGGCTGCTGTTGGAAGAGAGTTAGGTTAAATAGCACGCCAACCTAGTGTCATAGATAAAATGGTGCCCTGTGGCCTGTACTTCAATGGACGAGAAGAAGGAGTGGCTTCACCCTGCAAAGAAAGACTGTGGAGAGAAGGAATTAGAAATGAGAGAACACATGTATACCTGTGGTGGCTGTGGCACTGATGGTTTTGGTCCGGATGCTGGGAGCAAGTCCAGAGAGGTAGACAATAAAATCAGTACTAGGGGGTAGCCCTGAGATATGAGCGGTTCTCTCAGCACCCGAGATATTATATTCCACCGTCTCCAACAACCTATTGGAATCAATAATTTCAATGGTAAAGGTCTCGAAGATCCCATCGGTAGCTGTCCAGGAGAGATTGAAGCTTTCAGGAGTTATGTCAGAAACACTTAAGTTTCCAATTTCAGGTTCTTTGGCTGAAAAGGAGAGGGTAGGAAAGAAGAAACAAATACATTTAAGTTAATTATTTGTCTGTGTTTTAAGACCGATGTTGTTAACAGAGCTGGTGCTACATGGAAAGATGTGGTATGGTAGTTCAGGGTTATGGTGGAACAAAGCAATGTTAACAATGAGTGCCAATGGGAGAGGATAGGGGTTTTGTTAACAGAAAAACAGAAGGAGAAGGTTTGGAAGTTAGATTTCCCTTCTCTGCATTTGCCACACATGATCCCGCGAGAAGACATGCCACATGATCTCAAGCTGATTTGAAGCCACACATGCCTCTTGGGAGCTCCACCTCAGAGTTGCTGGCCATCGGTCAAAAGATATGTAGCTGGCAGCTTTCAGTTCCTTAAATCATGCCTGGAGGTCAAGATTACTTGGATGCCTCCCACAGACTTCCTTTGCTTTGAGGGAGCTCCCATCTATTCAAATGAAGGCTAAAGAATTCTGACACCTTTACCCTCCCAGAGGTGATGCCTTGAGGCTCTGATTTTGTGACTTACAGGGAATCACCAGTTTCTCAGTGTAATTTTTGGTATTTTTTCATGCTTCAGATGAGAGCCAGCCAGCCATTCTCGTATCCTGTTAAAATAGCTTGCCTGCTCTTAACTGCTTCTATGTGGGCCAAGAAGGCTAGTACTGCATTGCCAACCATGGGAGTTAAGCCAAGACAAGGCAGTTGAGGCCATCCTCAGTCAAGAATTCATGTTTTGCCTTGGAGATGGTCCTGTCAGAGCTTTTCTGAGCAGCAGGAATAAAACAGGCAGGCAGGAGCAGGATCTGAAAAGCTAGCACTGTTTCTTAAGCAAGGATGAAGGCTCCTAGTCTCTGAGATCATCCCAACAGATTTGCTGAGACACAGATCAGATGGGATTACAGCCTTCCTCCCTATAGGCCAACTCATCAGAGGCAAGAATGTTGCTATCGTTAACAAGAAAAACATGCGCACACATAAAAAGTTAAGGACACCCAAACCACAAGATCTGCAGGAAAGATCAGAAGTGGTGGATGATTTCTCTACCTTCTGGAAAGGGAAGGTTTGTGGATGTGAGATAAAAGAGCCCCGGCACATTCAAGATCAACTCAGCTGTGGACTGTAGGCATTTTGTTGTCAGTATCCACGCGGCGGTTGCCTGTGCATGATAGTTTATCTTGGTGAAATTTACGAGAATGGCTGAGGCTGAAATGTAGAGCTATGCTTTGCTAGAATCGGCTAAGATGTACAGGTTTTCCATGAACGTTTAGTTGCAATCATTATATAAAAAAGGGAGGGGGCGGTCAAATGTGGAACAAAGCAACACAGACTCTGCTGAGCTGCAAACCAAGTGAGACACATAAAGAAGATGAGCCTGGAAAACAGTGCTAGGGAAGGCTGCTCAGTTTAGCAGGCTCCTGGGAAATCCCAAATGCTTCTAAATGGAGTAGAGTGATGAGTAAAGAGTAAGGCACCCCGCTGGGCCTGGGGTTGGGCGTTTGCCATCCAAAGGTCAGCACTCCAGGGAGCAGCTCTTGATTAAAGGAGTAAAAGGATATCAATTCTTTGACATTCATAGCCTAGGACATTCCTTGTTCCAAATGCTGGCTGTGTGTACTCTGCTAATGAATGACTTTCTCTCTGGTACAGTCTCCAGTCATAATTGTATGATTTTTTTCCCTTTCTGGTCTAGCTATTTGCTAATTTGATGTTCTCACAATGACTCAGTATCTAAGAGAATTGCCTGAAGGAGGGTAATTCAGTGCTCTTATTATACTCAGGGCATTTTAAAGAAACATTTCTTAAATATAAGAACCTCTGTACTTATTCCCGTGAGGGATTGGAAAATAGTAAAATACAATTTCCTAGTAAAAGACTCTCTAAGTAAATAAGAAACTGTGCTTCACCAGAACTCACACATGAGAAGGGAGGCTTTTTGTTCTATTCAAGCTTTGGACAAGAAAGTTTGAACTGTCAGACTGATTCCTGAAACCAAAAGCCTATCATTCTAAAGATATGTAGTTGTAGCATCAGACAGTACAATATGAGTTGGGAAGGTTGAAGGGCAGGAGGTCAAAGAGAGCAACAGCTGCATCATTCACCTTGAGATGGCAAAAGCATTGGGACCAAAGCACAGCCCACAGGGAGGTCTCTGAGCATGCAAAGACAGCAGCTAAGGGGTTCACAGAAAGGATTCAGTTATGGAGAGAAGTTGACTCCCCACGTGACCTCTTGAAGAGGGAGCGTGGAACCTTGGGAGAAAGCATTGAGACCAGGAGAGGAAGGTACCTGTGAAGGCCTCAGCAGAGAGCACTGGTGTTCTATAGCCCTGGATCACCCCATAGATGGAGACTCTATAGGGTGTGGCAGCCTTGAGGCCTGGGATGTCCACAGCCCGGAGGCTGCCAGGCACCGTGAGGTTCTGGGCTGCCTCCACCTTGTTGGCCTCCTGCACCTGAATGACAAAGTGCTCATAGGCCTGGTCAGCTGTGGTCCAGTTGAGTTTGAGGCCGTCCCAGCCAACCTCAGTCATGGTTAAGTCTCTCAGCTGGGGGAGCTCCTCTGAAGAAGGACAGAGAGGTATTTGTCAGTTCTGAGAATCAAAAGTGAGGAAAACAAACATCCCACAGCCCAACTCTAGGATAGAGAGAAAGGGGATAGAAATTTTTAATTTATTTCTGATAATTCTTGGTCTGCAAGTGTTTGCAATTTGAACTGTGGTATCTTGGCCACAGCTTTCATCAGGAGTTGAAAATAGTCAGAAAGAGGCATAATGGCATCATTCATCCTTGAGATAGCAAAGCCATCTGCCCCAATGCATTAATTCGTGGAAGAGCTCTGAGAATGCATGTGGCAAAAGTGGGATTGTGGGTCAGTGGAAGAAAACTGGGAATGGTGGAAAGTGAAGCCTTTGGGGGCAGATGGTCCTGGGTTAGAATTCCAACATTATTATTTGCCAGGTGCATAATCTTGAGCATGTTACCCACCTACCCTCTGAGCCTCACTCGCTTCACCTTTAAATGAAGCTGGTAGTACCATTTAATTGGGTTGTGTCTGATTAAATTATTATAATTATTAACCTCTTCATTGGTATCATACCTGATACCCAGGAAGTGCCTGATAACTGATTGCTTAATTATTTAGAAAATATTGTTCGGGTGATTCTTCTTGGAGCTTCACAGTCATGTGGGAGAGAATTACCTGCATCATTTCATTACCTGAAATTAGAGATATCATCTCATTGCAGGGCACGTGCTATCTGCTTGGTTTAGAGTGTGTGCTATGTCAGGTTTGGACAAGTGTGATGTTTTATCTCCGCTTCCGGGAATCAAAGGTTATATATGGCATTCTTTGCTTGGTGTTTCTCTTCCCATTTTTCTTCCACTAGTACTTTGTGTGTCTGAGTGAAGAATGGCAGCATCATAAGGCAAGGCAGTTTGTATGAAATGAGCATGCCCACTTTTAATGAAAAGTGATTGTGTTTTGGTCAGTAAATGGCACAGACCCCATCATTAATTTTTCTGCAATGTAGAAAGGACATTGAATGGAGTTATTACTGCTGATTTAGAAAGAGTGGATTCAGATGATAGAAAAACCCATTGTTCAATGGAATGCTTCTCAGGGCTAAATGGGATCTTTCATCCTGTCTCTCAGACATCTAAGGTGGACATGGATTAGAAGGTAGGAATATAGCTACAGAAATGAAAATATCTACACGGATCTTAATTTAAAAAGGTGTCCCAGGACTGAATGCGCTGTAAGAGTCTAGGCCAACCTTTCCTTTCTAATGGGACTGTTTTCAAACTGTCTTCCATAAAGACCTGAAAGAACTGCACTGGGGATATGGATACGATCACCCCCTTTTCTGTTCTAGCATATCAAGAATAGCTGTGTATCTGTCACCTAGTGGAGTTCCTTGGACAATTTCATTTACAGAAGGAGTTTTGCTGCTAAAATAAAATTTTCAGACAACAGACATTGATTATCAGTATCTTGAACCCAGACCCAGTGTCTCAAAAGTCTTTTTCGTTAATTCTCCCCACATGGAATGAAAAACATTGAAGTCAAATGTGGTTGTCCTTTTTTTTTTTTTTTTTTTTTGGAAATATCCCTGCCTTCAGTATCTGTGATATAGAGATATTTGGCTAATTTCAGCAGAAGATGACTGGGTCATTTTCAAAGGTTATTCTATAGAGATCTGACTGTGAGCTGAGGCCAGTAATGATAAGGTTTCTCTAAAAGGTTCTGATCTTAGCCTCACGGCACGGCCTCACTGTTTTCTTTTTTTTTTTTTTTAATTTTATTTTTTTTATGACTCTGTGACTATACAATAAATTTAGCTATTTATTCTTTGGTACTTACTACATGATGGGCACTGTTCATAGCACTTACATTCGTTAGCTCATTTATTGCTCATGACAGTGTTCTGAGGCAGAGGTCTTATCTCTAATTTGAAGATGATAAGCAAAAGCTCAGAGATATGAAGTAATATGCTCAAGAATATTCAGCTAGCAATGTGGAATCTCAACCTAGACCTTCCTGAGTTAGAGATTGATACTGCCTGTCAACAGCATTGAGGTAGGACCTTATCATATGGGGATTTTCTCTACCCGTGATGACAGGCTGGCTCATGTCATGTCTCTGGTCTGAGAGAAGGATTTTATACCTGTGATGACCTCGACAGCAAGGGGTCTAGTGCTACGTCCCCTGATCTCGCCATGCAGGGTGACTGTGTAAGGAGTGCCAGCCCTGAGGCCTGGAACTTCCACGGAGCGCAGGCTGCCAGGAACTGTGAGATTGTGAGCATCTTCCACCTCAAAAGCCTCCTGGACCTGAATGGTAAACTGGTCATAGGTCCCATCTGGTGCAGTCCAGTCCAGTTTGAGGGTGTCCCAGCTAACCTCAGTCACTGTGAGGTTTCCCAGATCTGGAACTTCCTCTGCATAAGGAACAGAGTAGTTGAATTACTAAAACCGGTAACTACATTCTGGGGTTCTGGTGAAGTGGCATTTTGGCTAAGGTTGGGATAAGTAGTCTGGTTAATGTTGATTACAGAGTCATGATGTTCAGTAGGTGTTGAGCACACTCTGAGTGTTGGCAATAAAACCAAGGTGGGATTTGTTTGTTTGTTTGTTTTTTAACTCTGCCTTTGGGAATGAGAGGTAGTTGTAGGAATTATTCACAACTTCCCTTCTGGATGTACAAATTGGGCTTTGGGGAGTCCTTTGCTGTTCTTAAAATGAGCTCAGAACTATATATTTCTCTTACAAGTTTGGCTTTCCAACTTCTTAGATATTGTGGCTAGAACTTGGTTTGGAGGAATAGTTACCTATCACTTTTGTAAAGGAAGAATAGGTGGAATTTCCATGGAACTGGCTACTGAGTTATGATTAGGACTTAGCCAAATAAGGACTATGATATTTGGGGAGAAGAAAATGACTCATTGGTATTTCTCTGACATGATTGGGGCTGAACCCAGTATAGAGCAGGATAGAGCTTTGATTCCTTCTGAGCAGAGACAGTGGGGATAAAGTAAGTTGGGGAATTAATCTAAAATACCTGTTGAGACTTCAACAGAGAGAGGGGTGGTGCTGAAGTCCTGAGTGACCCCACGAATGGTGATGCTATAAAGAGTAGCTGCTTTGAGCCCAGGTAGGTCCACAGACCTCAATACTCCTGAGACTGTGAAGTTCTGGGCTGCCTCTAGCGTGTCAGCCTCCTGCACCTGAATGAAAAAGTGCTCATAGACCCCTTCCGGAGCAGTCCAGTTGAGCTTGAGGGCATCCCAGCCCACCTCGGCCACCGTGACCTCTCCCAAGTTGGGAGTTTCCCCTGGAGAAGGACAAAGAACTAGTTTAATGATCAAATTGCATACGAGGATCCAGGGAATAGGTTTTATATAACTTAAGAATGTGACTTCTTTTAGATAAACATACATCATGCAAAGTCCCCAGTTTTAGAAATACAGAAAAAAGAAAGAGATGGGATAAAATATATTTCTTTTGTCATTAAAGAATTGTCCTAATTTTCAATAGATAAAAGTATTAAGATTTTTTGTTTGTTTGTTTTTAAAAATATAATACCAAAACATCTCTTATAAGCCTGCTTATAGAGCTAGAGGTCTCCTCTATTGGCACAGTGTGTCTAGTCCCCCAGCCTAGGCTTTGTGCAACTCCACAGTGTTATTTACATGGTCAAGTGGTAATTATGGCTTTGAAGTTAGGTAAAGTAGTGACCTGACTGTCCACTATGAGACCGCACTTGTGGCCAGAACAAATTCATTCTAAGTTTGTCATGTCTATTTGTCCTTACTAGGAGAAACAGCCATAGGTAGAAAGGTAAATGATACCTGTGAAGGCCTCAGCAGAGAGCACTGGTGTTCTATAGCCCTGGATCACCCCATAGATGGAGACTCTATAGGGTGTGGCAGCCTTGAGGCCTGGGATGTCCACAGCCCGGAGGCTGCCGGGCACCGTGAGGTTCTGGGCTGCCTCCACCTTGTTGGCCTCCTGCACCTGAATGACAAAGTGCTCATAGGCCTGGTCAGCTGCGGTCCAGTTGAGTTTGAGGCTATCCCAGCCAACCTCAGTCACGATGAAATTTTCCAGTTCAGGGGCTTGTTCTGAGTAATGACAGAGATGAGGTCAGTTAAACTATTCCCCAAAACATTTTCTTTCTGAGAATCCAGAAATGGCCACCCCATTCCCCATGCTACGAAGATGTCAGCCTGAGAGCTGGGTGTCACTTACTGCATTCCCTAGCAGCACTGGCTCCACTAAAACACCACATAAAACAATGTAATACATATTTTGCCTACATACATATTTGGTTTTGTATTTTTGGAAGTGGTATTTTCCCAATGGCCAGTGTCCTGTAGATTTAGACAATGGTATACACCTATGTTAATCATCCTCTCGGCTTCAGTTTTCATTCTCAAAAGCATCTTTCATCATAAGAAAGTTCTTGAGGCCTTGATCCAAGCTGGCTAACCCTCTGTATTTTGAGACAGTTGGCTTCTCTCAGATTATCTTCCTTTTAATACCACCTCAATTTCTTCAGGAAGGTCTATTTTATAGTTTATATTGGGATTTTTGTCAGTTACTGGAGTTCAAATCAATAAACTATACACTATAGGAAAGTTCACAGATACACTAACACAGTAAGAATGGACTGAGGAAGGCAATGAGTCTTTGAAAAACTGTTTCTTGTTAGAAAAAAAGACCAAGGCCCTAGGAGAAATAGAGTTTATTAAGCACAATTAAAATGAAATAGTTTATTAGTACACCATTTTACTCTTCTTCTGAACACTGGGAACACAGTAAAATCTCATTTGTTAGAATCTGTGTGAAGGGGATTATTCTGCCCAGAATTGAGCTTTATTGGACTTTGCATGACCTAGAAAGAAAGAATTTCTTTGGAAATGGATCTTGAAAACAAGAAAGGAAGAACTACTTACAGATCATTTAAAAAAACAATTTTTTTTTTTATGCCTCATCTTGCTGCTAATGTCAAATGAGCCATATGTGTCTATTAAAGTCGGCTTCTAACTTGAAAATCTTAGCTTACAATTCGATGGAGGATATCCTTGGAGAAGAGATACTAGTTTTTTCGAATGTATTTATCTCAGATTTTCTGCAGATCTGGGGAAAAACACTCTTTCTAGTCATTTCATATTGGCAGAGCTTATACTCCTTCCAATTGTGTTTGCCTTAGAGCAGAGCAGAGACTCACAAACTATAACCTAAGGGCTACATCTGGCATGTTGCCTTGGTAGTCATTAAGCTAATGGTATTTTTAAAATTTTAATAGTTGGAAAAAATTTAAAAAGAAAGCTAGTCTATGATACACAGCAATCATATGAAATTTACATTTTGGCATCATAAATAAAAGTTTTATTGAAACATAGCCATGCTTGCTCATTTTCATGTTGTTGATGACTGCTTTTGTGCAATGAGGGCATGGATGAATAGTTGTGGCAAAGTCTATCTGGCCTGCAAAGTCTCAAATATTTGCTATCTGCTCCTTTACAAAAAATATTTAAGTATCTGATCCTGAACTTCAATAGACTCTTGATTTTTTGTTTGTTTGTTTAAAGGTTTTTGTCATAAGGTACGTGTGCTTGCCAGAGAGACATGGAGAGAGACAATGAAAGGGAAAGTAAGAAATCATCCCCATCCCAGATGATCATGTTGCAATCCCCTTTCTTCCACTCTCCTCCTGGGATTTTGGGCATACATGAACACATATCCTGTGTGATTTTCAAGCTGCCAGGTTCAAGGCTCTAACTGTGATAAATCATGTGAGAGACCAGCACCTTTATATCACCTGCTGACTTCTGGACTTCTCATTTAACCAAAATCAATATCCTGGAGTTCACATCCAAGGCTCTAGGGCAGTTCTTAGCCACCTAAACATGGTCTCTATGAGGAAGAAAGGATTCAAAACTCAAAGTGGTTAGACTTAAAGGAGAGCCAGCCACTCTTAAACTCGCTGGCCCTTGTGAGGCCAGGAATAGTGTCCCAAGAGGTAATGATCATATTCTTGACCTTGACATTTAAGTACAGCTATACTCAGGGGAATTTCCCCAAATATTCCTGCAGCTCTCATGCACAAAGAGAACCACAGGGAAGAAACAAAACTACACAAAATAGGAGATCAATCTTACGGCTTTTAAGCTTCCCTTCTCATCCCACTTTCATCTTTGTGTTCCTTCTGCTGTCCAAAACCACTTTTCAGGAATATATTTCACATCAATAGTTTACTTCTTTATGTAAATTAATTCACTGTTTTTCATCTCCAGGGATTTGTATTTTAAGCCTTATCTCTAATTGTGACATCAAACATGGATTTTTCTTTCCCAATCAAAGAAATTTCAGATACTAGATTTTAAGAAATGGGATAATTACCTAACTGGGAGAAAGAAGAGGTGATTATCTATTGCCTGTTAAGCTGTTATTTAAAGATGGTTGGAGAGGGGCTGGCAGGTGGCATGGTGGTTAAAAGTGCTGGACTCCCACACGACCAACCACGGTTAGAGTCCCTGACTTGGCAGCTTTGCTTTCTCACTTTCCCTCTCCTCTCTCTCACTCTGTCTCTCTCTGGTCAAATTTAAATAAATAAATAAAGTTAAAATAAAATAATTCCTTAAAAAATGAAAAAAAGATGGTTGGAGAAAGAACACATATGTGGGGAAAGCTGTCTCCCTGATGAGAATCATCCTGTACCTTTGAATCAGCCTTTTGATACATTATTGATACCTTTATACAGTGTCCCTCATGCTTTGCTATATCCATGCGTACAGTTGATAGAATAATTTTCACTTCACATCATTGTCATGTTGTCTAATAAATAGTAACAGTTATGGTGGTAATATTTCTGCCACAATGTTTGGGCATTCCTCTCCTATTTTTTTTTCTGGAAGGCAAATCAAGGAGAAACATTTGTCTATCACTTAGAGATGGGGTTTCTGTAGTCAATACTGTTGGTGTTCCACCCAAGATCTCTTCACTAAGCAAATGCTAGTTAAGTAAGTATAAAGTGCAACCTCCACAAATAAAATCAATTGATAAAATACAGGGAGAAGAATAAGATTTATAAAGAAGGGGAAAATACGAATAAAAATAGAACACAATAGTTGAGGTGGGAACCAAGAGGCTTCACATAAACGCTGACTATACATTTCAACAGCAAATGACGTACTTGTAGGCTCAGTGCCCCAGAAGCCAAGTGTTTCCATTGTACAGTTCACGCTGAACTTCTTGGTATTTCTTTATGAAAAGGCTGTTGTCTTTTTCTTACAGCTGTTCACCAGAATCTACTCTCTCAACAATGTCAGTGGGCCTGGGAAACCAGAATTTTGAAATCCCAATTCTGTACTTTTGGTGGGTTGAGCAGCTGGCCAGGGGAAATGTCAGACAGTGCCAACTTGAAATCTCTAGATTTCTTTCATTATAGATGGCAATAACCAGTATTGGCTTGATGAAGAACCTACTTTTCTTGCCTCCTGATGTGAGAAAAGAGTGATTCTCCCACATCTGGGCAAACTGAAGCCTGATCGCCTGAAAAGATAGCTTAAGTGGCTTCAATGCCATCTTAGAGACAAAATGATTGAAATAGAAAGCTTTAGCTGCCTGACAACTTTTCAGTGACTTCTTGGTAACTGAAAAACCAATCCCTTTGACATGGTAGTCACAGCCCTTTGCAGATCACCCTCAATAATGACAACTATCTCTTAGCCGCATGCCCTGTTGCTCTCCCGGTCTATCACATTGTAGGACCCTATAGCTACTGTTCCACTAATAAAATGCTTCTCATGACCTTGAGCTTTTCACACACAGTTCTCTCTGTTGGACATGCCATTACTCTTTCTCTGCTTGCCCTTCTTTTCCTTTTTCTGAATTAACCAAACATCATTTGTTCCAAAAAATTTTTTCCCTGTTGCTCTATTCCTTATGCTGAGGTCTGTGATGGGCACCAATCTCTGTGCTTTCACAGCTCTCACACATTTCTTTGAAATAACTTGCATTCTTATCATTTTGGTTTTGGTTCTCTGTGTTTCTCTAACCCTTATTTTTTAATTTATTTTTTAAGGAAGATTTTTGCTTTAGGGCACATGCGGGAGACAGAGACAGAAAGACAGAAAGTGAGAAATGACTCCTCTGGGGAGATGGCCATGTCACAGTCCCTTCTCCTCCAGTCTCCTCTTTGGATCTTGGGCATGAACGCACATGTACCCTGCATGAGTTTTAAGCCACTGAGTCCGGAACTCTAACCACAGTTGACTATGTGGGAGTACAGAGACATAAATATGCCAACTGCTGGTCCCCACCCTTAATATATTTTAACAACCTCATGTTGAAAAGCTTTTCAACAGCAAATGATGTTTCTTCTTGATTCTATTTTTATCCCTTCCCCACCTTTGATTAATACACTTCTTTAGAGCACCCTTGACTACCATCTTATAGCTGGGTGGGAAGCAGTCCATGACAAAGTCCGCAGAATTGACCATTGGGACTCACTTTGGGTTTTGTGGCAGACTGTCCTTTGCCTGCACATGTCTCACTTGTCCCTACAAACCACCATGATTTTAAGTGAACAGCAGCCAGATTACCCTTGCCAGCCTCATTAGTAGCTGAGAATGGCCAGTAAAATGTAAGAAGAGATTGGTAGTTTCCTGAAGACTGACCTAGCAGGTGCTCTTTTTATTTGGAGCTTCGGTTCTCTCTCATACATCCTAGAACACAGATGTGTTAGCAGTACTCCAGCCATATTGTGACATTGAGATGACTTTGAGAATGGAAGCCAAGCACTAAGAATGGTGGAATAGGGAGATAGAAGAAGCATGGGCCTCTGCTAATTTAGAAGCACTATGTCACTCCTGAACCACCCAGCTCCAGATTTATCTTATGAAACAGGATGCAAACTTCTATCTTACTTAAGTGACTATTATGTGAGAGTTCTAATTTATTCAGGTGAATGTATTTTAAAATGACAGACTCTTCAAGACATTTCCAAACATATCCATTGTTAGAACCCTGTTTTTGTTTGGTGAGGCTCAGCTGGGTGACATCTAGTTGTAACACCTTATTTTCCAGTCACTCCCTTTTCTTGATTGAGTTTTCGTCTAACATTCTAAACATTGATCTAGTCTTCCCCAAGGACTGTGAGTTGGAGTACACAACCAGGATAGTAACATTGACTGGGAGACTTGCACACTCCCCACATATCAGCACAACATGACGTATGCAGTAAGCGCTCCATGCATGCTCAGTTTAAATCGAAAGACTTATTTGCCAAACCCTGAGGGAGTAACATTTTACACTTACATATCTTGAGTCTTTGGTGACTAAAATAGAATTGCTTATTTTTTTCTATAGGAGGAAACTTTTTTTTTTTCCTATTGCTTTTCTATTTAACCACTGAGGAAACACATTCAGATAACAGAATAAAAGGGATAGAAGAGACACTGGAGTTCAGGATCAAACCATCATCATGGAAAACTGAGTTTGTCTCTTAATTACTAAGCAAAAAAAAAAAAAAGAGAAAATGAGCAGGACATCATGGAAAGCTCAAAGGCTCATGTGCATCTTCTCAGGGGTAACTTTAGAGGAAAACAAGAGACCTGGAATAAAAACACTTCATGGAAAATAACTCAAGAATTATTACCCATATTCTGGTCATCTTTAAAAGGAATAAAAGGAAAAGTAAATTCATCATTAGGCTAAAGGGAAATAAAGACACAATTTAAAAGATTCTGTGAAGCATGCATCATTTTTTACAAAGTAGAAAACAAAGATAAACAAAGACATACCCTGTTGCTTAAAGTTCTGCTAGGAAGAAACATTTAAAAACCACTCTTGTCCAGCTAGAGAAACTTCGCTAAATCAGTTAACAGGAAAAATTTCATATTTGGGAAGGCCAAATAAGCAGCTCTTTCCAAGTGGCATTTAGAGGCTTCATGGCAGAGAAAATAGTGTGTTTTCCCATCTGGCTTTCTTCATGGCAGGACTACCTAGCTAAACGGCTCTATAAACCTCAGAATCAACAGAGGGTTTGGAGGGCACTCAAGGAGGACTCACCAGAGGATGCCTTGACCCGTGCAGGCTTGCTCTTGTGTCTGCCCTTCTCAGCGGTCAGGAGGATGGTGTATTCTTGTCCTGGTTCCAAGCCTCGCAGGATGTAGGAGGTGGTGTTTTTCGGAAGTTGTACCTCCACTGGCTGGCCAGTGGGCAGGCTGTAGTTGAGGCGGTAACGATCAAACTTGGCCATCGGTGTCCTCCAGAGCAGTGTCAGACTTGTGTCTGTGGTTTCAGAAACCCTAAGGTCCTTGGGTGGGTCGAGTTCTGGGTGGAAAACAGAGAGTGGGAATTGTTCAGGCTCCCAGACAGGGCTGCTTCTGGGGCTCGAGTCTATTGACGGGCTACGGACCTAGGTGTGCCATACAGCTGCTGAGTGGCTGCAGTCATTTCATTGACTTCTCTGAGTCTCGTTTTTCTCATTTGTAAAATGGGCTCAGCTATACATTACCTTGTTGGTTTTTTCTGAAGATTAGATATAACATAGTAGTAAATCTATAGTAAGAAATGCTACTCAATCAAAAGCACTTAAAAGGAATGGACTTTGATACAAGAAAGTATTTAGATGAATCTCAAGAGAATTACAATGAGGGGAAAAAGCCATTCTCAAAGGATTATATCCTGTATTGCCCTTGACTATGTAGTCGTGTCCCCCTCAAAGTCAATGTTGAAACCTAATCCCCCATATGATGGTTTTTGGATGTACGTCATTGAGAAACCTCATGTATGGGGTTAGTGCCCATTTAAAGAAGATATTGGTGAGATCCCTTATTCCTCTGCCATGTGAAGACAGTGGGAAGATGGTCACCCATGAATCAAAAAGTGGGCCCTTGCTAGATACTGAGTCAGCTGGCACATTGATTCTGGACTTCCCAGCCTCCAGAATGTGAGAAATACATTTATTTCTTTGTAAGTTAGCCAGTCTTATGTATTTTCATTATAGCTGAATGAATGGAACATGATATTAGGCTTCCATCTATGAAACATTCTTGAAATAGCAAAATTATATAGATAAAAATCATACAGTGACTTCTAAGGGGTAGGTAGAGGGGAAGGATGGAGATAACTGGCTTTGTGATGGAACACTATCTCAACTTTGCAGTGGTCCATTTATATATCTACCCATGTGAAAAGACTCCACAGAGGTAAATCCAACACACACAGGTACATACACATATATGAGTGCGTGTAATACTGGTGCAATCTGAGTAAAAGGGATAGGTTGTGCCAATGTCAACTTTCCAGTTGTGATATTGTTCAATATTTATGCAAGACATTACCCTTGGGGGAAACTGGGAGGAGGACCTAGGGGATCTCTGTGAGATTCCTCACACTGCATAAGTCGTAATTATCTCAAAATAAAAAGATTTTTTTAAAATTTACATATAATCACTGTACATCTTTATAGCATACAACATGGTTTTCCCCAGTGTGAATATGGTGCATATTAGTTAAGTCAAAGGCCATATACTGGGTCTTCAGAAAAGTCATGAGTATTTTTCTGTTATGCTATGCAAAAATGCACCATGACTTTTCCAATGAACCAATACATTATCATCCACAGATTAATTTTCATTTTTGTGTCTATTAAATGTTTCATTTTTATCCTCTGATCCTCTCTTTCACCCCGTATTACCCACCCCATTGGTGCTGGAAAAACTGAATATTCACCTGCACAAAAATGAAATTAGACTCTTATTTCATACTATTAATAGAAATCAATTCAAAATGGATCAAGGATCTAAACATAAAACCTCAAACTATAAAACTGCTGGTGGAAAATACAGGAGAAACTCTTGGAGACATCCAAGTAGGCAAAGATTTTTAAATAAGACCCCAAAGCACAGGTAATCTCAAAAATAGACAAGTGGGACTACATTAGGCGAAAAGTTTCTGCACAGCAAAAGAAACAATAATTAGTATGAGGAGACAACCCGTGGAATGGGAGTAGATATTTGCAAAGCATGCCTCAGATAAGGAACTGATAAACAGACTACATAAGGAATTTTTGCTGCTTATTTGCAATAAATGAACAATCTGATTAAAAGATGGGTAAGTGAGCTGGACAGGACTCCCTAAGGAAGAAATAGCCAACGGCATATGAAAACATGCTCAACATTTCTTATCATAAGGGAAATGCAAATCAAAAACATAGTGAGCTACCATTTAACCCCAGTCAGAATGACTAAGATTAAAAAAATAATAATGATAACAATAGGAAGGGTGTGGTGAAAAGATTTTTTTAAGAAAAGAATGTGTGTAAGTGACTAACATTGGATCCTCCATAATGTAGAGGATCAGTGAAACATAATATCATCTGTATCCTCTTACAGATTAGTCTTCCTTTTCCTCATAGTACCTGGGGAAAGGTAAGGTGGAGACTGGTAGAAAAGCAGAAAAGGAGTTTTCATTTTCCAGTACAAATTTTCCAGAATAAAAACAAACAAGCAAGCAAGCAAGCAAACAAACAAACAAACAAACTTGAACAGATCCTGGGCCTCATCTCACATAATCCTCCCAGTTCTCACCCAGAAGTTGCAGGCTGCAATGGATTAGAATAGGGCCTAGATTAAACTATGGTCCTACCACTGGAATACAAAGTTATGTGTTTTCAAGACCAGCAGATGGCGTAGCAGTTACATCACTGGATTCCCACGTAGTTGACCGCCATTCAAGTCCCGGCCCAGCGGCTTAAAACTCACTCTGGGTGCGTGTGTGTGCATGCATGCCCAAAATCCCAAGAGGAGAATGAGGAAGAGGGGATTGTGGCATGGCCATCCTCCCTGGGGAGTGGATTCTTGCTTTCTGTCTCTCTGTCTCTCTGGTGAGGACAAGTGCCCTAGAACAAAAATCTCTCTTAAAAAAAAAAGCTATGTTTTCTAAGAGAAAATTCTCCTATCTGTGCTTTTTTTTGGGAAACTTTTTAAAATTAATTAATTTACATTCATTCCCTGAGCATCATCACAACATACAAAATGTGATTTTTCATTTGGAATATACCACATAGTGGCTTAATCATGCATGCTATGATCAATAGTTTTCCATTTCTAGTTTCATATATATATGTGTGTGTGTGTACATATATATATATATAGTATATTACCCTTATTACTGCCCGCTGCCATTTCCCATCCTCCTCCCACACTATCTCTGGTTTCTGCAGTTGCTTTCCATTTCTTTATTTTTCCCCACATTGCATTGATTCACAAAATATCTGAATCACTATAAATACTTTCAATAGTAAATTCAGCTGATACATACATATCTGCGAACAAAAGTTGACTTTAGGCATGAAACTCTCTTTTATATACTATAAAAGCACATAGCTGAGGCTATATAGCTTACTGTGGTTATTACATAGGTATTTTTAAAATACATTTTTAAATTTCAAGAGAGGCAGATTTAACTTTAATAAATCAAAATCAAAAAATGTTAAGTGAACTTTGCTTAATACTTAAAGCCAGGAAATATGTATTCTGTTCAAATAGTAGGTACATGAACCTATCAACAGCTCAAGACAAGACTTCCTAGATGTACTTTGATTAGGTAGTAGGTTTTTAAAAACTGGAATGCTCATCAAATTTAAAAAGTGGATTTCTTATAAAGTCTTGTTCCAACATTTCTTTAACTTCTCCTGTTCTCCTTCCTATATGGAAAGAATAATGCTGGCATCATTCAGATGGGCTGGGCTCATGTTCCTTTTGAATTTAAAATCCTGTGCTAAGTGGTACTACAAATCCTTTTCTCCTCTGGACTTCTATTTTTGTTTAATTTTGAAAACATTGCTATAGGGTATGTGTGCTGGCTGGAGAGAGACAGAGAGAAAGTGAGACAGCAACCTCCAGAGAGAAGGGCCATGGCATAATTCCTTTTCCTCCATTCTCCTCTCAGGATTTTTGGCATGCAGGCACACACATTTGGGGTATCGCTCAAGCCACCGGAGTCCAAGATTCAGACTACATAGATAGCTGTGTGACTCCAGCCACCTTAACCACCAGGTCACAGGTTGGCCAAACTTTTTTCTTGTAAATATTGGAAATGCCATGACATATTTTTCTATGCAAAATTATAGTATAATTTTTCTAATGACCTAATACCTTTCAGACCCATTGGCCCTATCTTGTCTGTATAGCACCAGCTCAGTGGCAGTTGGAATTCAAGGTGCGCCTTACCTGTGGCTGCATTGATGGTTGCTGGATCACTCTCCTTGTCTTCCTTCACAGCAGAAACTCCAATTCCATATTCTGTGCCTGGTCTCAGACCTAAGAGAAAAAATGCAGGTTGAGATTAAGCCCGAAAGTGGACACTTTCAGCTCACAAAGCCTAGGCCCAGGCAAGAAGGCATGCACTGTCAGGATTCTATGTCTGTAGGCTGGGACCAGATTCAATGCCTGATCCAGGCATGGGACATACGTCTATAATCCCAGTGACAAAGAAGATTGAGGCAGGAAGATCTCAATACAGTGAGGCACTATCTTACAAAAAAAAAAAAACCAAAAAAACAAACAAAAAAAACCCAAACCAACAAACAAAAAAGACCTCCCAAACAAACAAAAAACAAAAAGCCTCGAGCTTATACCCAGAAGCTATGATTTTTCAATGTCTGAAATGTTTTATAGATTAACTCGCACAGTCCAGGTGAGAGAAGCTTCTGGGAATTGGACTTATTTCTTTCCCTGGACAGTTACAAAATGGGGGCGCATGGGAGCTGGTGCTCATCTTTTGAGGGCCCCATAGCTCTGACTGAATCAGGAGATGCAGAGCTCACCTGTGAGTGTGGTTTTGGTTGTGGCTTGTTGACTCTTTGGGACATCAATTTCTGCGTGGTCACCCCCAGAGATGGGTGCGTACTTAATTCTGTAGCTGTCAATGGCTGCCTTGCCATTTCTCCATTCCAGAGTGATGCTGTTGTCTGTCTGGGCAACACGTCGGAGATTTCTGGGAGCATCTAGGCCTGTTTGGGAGAAGAAGGAACACTTGTATTGAAAACATCAGGCACCAGCAGAGCAGGAGTCTTTGGTGAAGAGTCACAGTTTCAAGGTGAAGAGAAATGACAAAATTACCACTACACCTCTTTCATAGCCAATGCAGATCTATTTTTTTTTTTTTGGAGAGGTTTTTGCTATAGGGCGCGTGTGCTCACCAGAAAGACAGAGACAGAGACAGAAAGAGAGAAATCACCCCCAGGGGGTATGGCCACACCACAATCCCTTCTCCTCCATTCTCCTCTCAGTATCTTGGGCATGTACACATACACAGCCGGTGTGAGTTTAAGCCACTGGGTCCAGGACTTGAACTGCGGTCAACTACATGAGAATCCAGCAACATAGCCATTATGCCAACTGCTGGCCCCTACCAATGCAAATCTAAGTAAATATTACAGATTTGGCATGTTTCCCCATTGTTGATGTGCGTGATGCTATGATCATTTGTGTTTTTCTCAACTTTTGTGCTTAAAGAACAATGCAAGAACTTACAAAAGCTAGAGTGTAAGCGTTGTTCTGCCGTGTTTTATCATTGTATTTCTAATAACTCATGCTAATAATGGATACCTTCCTGAGCTCTGAAAAAGATATTTATGGAATGAATGCTTGACACTTTGGTACTTTTAAAATAATGCCATAGGTAAGCAGTTAGGAAGCTTCTTTGCCATTCATGTTTTTTATACTGTGCATTATATTATTAAAATATTTGAATTTTCTATTTTTTTCTTTCTTTCTTTTTTTTTTTTAATTTGCCAGAGGACACTTGTGCTCACCAAAGAGAGAGAGAGTGAGAAAGAGAAAGCATCCACAGAATATTTATATCCACAGTCCCTTCTACTCCATATCTCCCTCTTTTCAGGATTTTGAGTGCACACACATGCACCTGGCATGATTTTAAGCCAGCAGTCTGGGACTAAACTGTGCAGGCAGCCATGGGAGATCCAGCTGCTTTACCACCATGCCATGGCTGGCTCAAATTTTATTGTAATTGGAACTTCTGTCTGAAAATATCAGACCTACATCTTCCATGTATGCAAGAAAAAAAAAGGTTTTGGAAGATTATTTGGGGTATTTTTTCTTTGAAAAAATAATTAATTGTTATACTATTTTAAAAGAAAGGTTGAAGTAGTAGAAATCCCTCCTCCATTTTTCTTCCTGTAAAATGAGCCTGGAAGACACTTCAATATATGTGAGAGGGAGATCTTGTCATCCTTTTCTTTATCTCAGTTAATCACAGAAGGCTTGTTACCTGTTGTGAAGGTCTCTTTGGCTGGATTGCTTGACATGTCACCTCTGCGGGAAATGAGGGACACCTCGTACTCAGTGTCTGGCTTCAGGTTCCCGATGGAGTACTGGTTGTCATCGTGGGTGAGGTCAATGGTGGTGCGATCACCCGGCACGTCTTTGATACCATAGGAGAGCTCAATGCCATCGATCTCGGCCAGGGGCTTGAACCAGGTGATGAGGGCTGTGGTGTCTGTGACATCTTTCACTTCAATCTGGCTGGGGGCATCTAGGCCTGTGACAGGAAGAAGACAGAGCAGATTCAGAGATCAGAGGAGCCAGGAGCTGGGGCTAAGCAGAGGGCTCTGCAGTCCTCAGACCTGTAGGTGCACATTTAGATATACAGTGACCACTTGACTTTGTATTTTACCTTTCTGAGCCCCAGCTTCTTACTTGACAAGCTATAAGCAGAAATAATGATAGCTACGTCTGGAGTGCTGTGCTTTTTTTTTTTTTCTTCAGATATTAAAAGTGATAATGCTTGTGAAACACCTGTACATGGCAGTTACATGATACATATTCCTTCTCTTGGTGGTGGTATGATTAGTAGTTCTACTCTTATAAGTCAAAACATGATTGGAGGTTGCATCATCTGCAAAAAGTGTATTTAATTTCTCTCTTTATTTTAATTAGGCAAAATATTCCGGATGATTGATAACCTTTTCTGCCAGAATTACAGAAAAGTAAGGAGTACACTGTCTTGACAGTGTGCAGAAAGTTATTTTTGATGAAAACATATTCAGGCCAGGAAGTCATTGCTATCTGAAGCCTTACCCTCCTTTGCGTCCTCACCTTGACATTTTGTGTGATCCTGTGACTCCCCTCCCGCCCCAGCCCCTGCTGTGTGTGGTGCTCTGACAGCATGCTGCTCAGGGCTCTGTGGCACACTATGCTCTTATCACCTCCTGATCTCTGCAAGTGCTGCTCCTTTGCGTCTCTTCCCTGAGAGTGTCCCTCCTTCCTCTAAAAAGTCTATTCAGTCGTCAATATCTCACCTGCATGTGACCTACTAAGACGGCTTCTTTGACCTTACTGCAGTCAGGTAAACGTACACCCTTTCTTGCTGCTACTGTCATTACTGTCCTTAACGAGCAGTCTAATACTGCAGTTTTCTTACTGTCCTGTAACACTGTTCTCTATGGTTTGATTCCATTTGGACAGAGTTTTTCATTCATTCAGAGAGTATTTTTTTTTTAATTTTAAGTTCATTTATTCATAATAGAGAGCATATGTGAATGCATGAGAGAGAGACAGACAGAGAGAAATACCCTCAACAGTACCCTCTCATCCCACAATCCTCTTCCTCTAGCCCTCCAGCTCATGAGGGTTGTGGATGTGCACACATATTCTGCACATTCCAGGGTAACTGGGCCAGGGATCCGAATTCATGGTCACTGATGTGGCTTCTGGCTCTGCAATCCAGCATACAAGGGACTGTGCCATTAGACTAGACTTCTCATGCTTTTTTAAAATCCACAGCATAGAGACAGGCACATACTAGCTACTTAATAAATTCTCTTTCCTGTTTTTTAATAGTTAAATTTGTGGTTTCAACATTGGTAAGAGTAAGCAATGTCAAATAAAAGGCACTGGCTTATTCAGGGAATAAGAAAGAGGAATATGGGAGCAGCAGATGGTCTAATGGTTACTGGACTCCCATGCAGTCGACAGTGGTTCAAGTCCCGGACCTAGTGACTTAAAACTCATGCCAGGCATGTATGCGTGCATTCCCGAGATCCTGAGAGGATAATGGAGGAGAAGGGATTGTGGTGTAGCCATTCCCTCTGTGTGGGGGGGTCATTTCTCACTTTCAGTCTGTCTCTCTGGTGAGTGCACATCACTATAGGAAAAAATCTTTCTTAAAAAAAAATAAAAAAGGAGGAGAAATAATCCATAACTAATGATGAGAAATCTGCAGGGTCTAATTTTTGATGCAGAAGTGTTAATATATCAGCCTCATCCACAGATGATGAACCTGTAAAATGCCCAATGAAAACGATGCTACGTGAAGCCAACTGTCCTGTGCTGCAGCTAGCAAGAACCCAAACCCTACCCCTAACTTCCTTAGCACCCATCTCATTAGAGAAGCTGGGCTTCAGTCAAGGACACTGATATCCCCCTAGACTGGACTGATCTTTCCACGTGCCAGCAATTATACTGTGTTGCTTATGTTGTAACTCATATGAAAGTTCCATAAAAAGAATATTTATTATAAATCTCTTTTCTGGATGTTGAGTCTGAGGCTTCCAATGAAATAGGTTTGTCCAAGGTGATGATGAATTCAAACTCAGGACTATTGAATCTTTCCCCTTTATGTAATGATGCCTCTCAGAAGCATTCAAGTGTCAATAATAGCTGTAATATAATCTCTGTATACCAGAGGGAGAATCCAGAAAATGTCTCAGCACCAGATGGTTACCGTCTGTAAAGCGTCAAAACAGTTCAGGTATATCAGCAAAGTGGACAGAATTTATCTGTCCCTCATTGTTGATTATTTTTGTGACTATGGGAACGTCACATGTTGGTAGGTTTGTCTCATAACCAGAAAAAAAAAAATAGATAGCAGCATCCCTAAATTTAGATTTCAAAGAACAGGGCAGGTGAAAGACATCTTATGTATTTTCAGGGTGCCTCTGCATAACAAATAAGCATGTTCTGGATCTTTTCTACACCTTTCTGGTGATCTAATGATTTTTTTCCCGTTGCTACCTGCTTTCTACCTACCACAGAGAGATGTTGTCGGGATGATGGAACACATTTGCTCATAAAAGAGACAATTCTATGTGTTGGGTTTCGTCTAGGCAAAATGTACAAATATTTACATCCAAGATGTTCTTTCTTGTCATAAGTCAATAGATTCAACTTTTCCAACAACCGCCTGCCAAGAAGAATCAATCCCTTAAAATGTTGGCACGTACGCTATCTTGCAAAAGATAAAAAGGTTTTCCTATGTGGAAATGCAAAATTATTTTATTCTTTTTTAAAATTGCTTCCTGACAGAACATCTCCAAATTCAGATTCATTTTTCCTCCCTAAGTGATTCTGTAGTGTGAAGTCCTATTCTACTCAAAGAAGTTCTGACCTCCGTAGTATTGAGTGAAGTTTTATTTAGGTTCCCATTGAAGACATGAACTCAATACTCTGCCTAAACCAGAGTCCAGTCAATGCTAGTGGTAATGGGGTAAAAGTTACAAAACTAGAAGTTACAAAGAAACACAAAAGATTACAAAACTTAGGTTAGGTTTGAAGTTTTGACCTGATATTATTAACCACATGGCATTAGTTAAGGTGATTTAGCTTCTCTGAACCTTAGTTTTTTCTCTTCTGATATAATAGCATTAATATTTTTCCTGCCTCTGTCACATAACTGGGTGCCAATATTAGATTAAATGATGTGGTCAGTGTTTGCAATGGCCTCAATTTATCATCTTCCTTCATCTATGCCCCTTAGAAATGTGATCTTGCACCTCTTCTCATCAAAAGAAGAATCTGTTTTTCCCACCTGAATCTGGGCTGACCTTGAGATTTGCTTTGACAGAAACCATCCAATTTTGAGCCTGCTCAGCTACCATGTGCATAGGCCCAGGCTAACATACTAGAGGATGAGAGACCATGTGGAGGGGAGCAGAATGGCATCACCCTGGCCAAGGCCATCTTGGGTCAGTCAGTCCCCAGACCACAGAGTTGTGCGAATGATCCCAGTCAAGAACGGTCGCTTAACCAAGCCCAACTCAAATTGGAACTGCTGTTTTTAAGCCACTGCAATTTGGAATTTTAATGTTTTCAGTTTGTCATTTATTTATTTAATTAATTTGCCAGAGAATGGGTGCACTTCAGAGAGAGAGGGAGAGAAAAAGAAAGTGAGAAAGCACCCTCCCACACACACTTTTCATGGGAGATGGTCATGCTGGAATCCTTTCTCCTCCATTTCTCCTTCTTTTTGGGATTTTGGGCCCACACATACACATGCCAGGCGTGAGTTTAAGCCACCGGGTCTGGAACTTGAACCACGGTTGACTACATGGGAGTCCAGCAACATAGCCATTACGCCAACTGTTGGTCCCGTCATTTGACATTAATGGCCTATTTAGTACTTCTTCATTTCCTCATATATGTTCATCTGATTTAATTTAGACAGATACAGAAGAGGAAAGTTTGTGTGATCTCCATGTAGGTACTCTTTCATCTTCTCACCCAAAACCTAGATCTTCATTATTCTCTTATTTCTTATAAGAGTAAACAGAGAAGCTTTCTCTCTTTTACACTAAGCTCTAAACCTCAATCCTCCAAAGGAACCTTATTTATACCAGAGTCCCTCTTATCCCTGTCTTCCATTTTTGTCACTGGAATTGAAACATATAAGTCTCCTATAAGTCTTCTGTCCTAAAGCAAGTTAAACTTTTTTTTTTTTTTTTTTTTTTAATTTTTGGGGGGGGGGAATATTAGATTAAATGATGTGGTCAGTGTTTGCAATGGCCTCAATTTATCATCTTCCTTCATCTATGCCCCTTAGAAATGTGATCTTGCACCTCTTCTCATCAAAAGAAGAATCTGTTTTTCCCACCTGAATCTGGGCTGACCTTGAGATTTGCTTTGACAGAAACCATCCAATTTTGAGCCTGCTCAGCTACCATGTGCATAGGCCCAGGCTAACATACTAGAGGATGAGAGACCATGTGGAGGGGAGCAGAATGGCATCACCCTGGCCAAGGCCATCTTGGGTCAGTCAGTCCCCAGACCACAGAGTTGTGCGAATGATCCCAGTCAAGAACGGTCGCTTAACCAAGCCCAACTCAAATTGGAACTGCTGTTTTTAAGCCACTGCAATTTGGAATTTTAATGTTTTCAGTTTGTCATTTATTTATTTAATTAATTTGCCAGAGAATGGGTGCACTTCAGAGAGAGAGGGAGAGAAAAAGAAAGTGAGAAAGCACCCTCCCACACACACTTTTCATGGGAGATGGTCATGCTGGAATCCTTTCTCCTCCATTTCTCCTTCTTTTTGGGATTTTGGGCATGTACGCATATGTGCTCAGTGTGTTTTTCAAGCCACTGGGTCTGGGGACTTAAACTGCATAATCAGCTATGTGGAGTCCAACAGACTTAACCACTATGCCATTGGCTAGCTGAAGACTTTTTATTTATTTATTTTTTAGTGTAGCAAAAGCTAATTGATAAAGATACTGTGTAAGAGGGCACTTTATCATCCAGAAGTTGCTATCATTTTACCAGTGGTATTAAGGTGATACTCACGGGTGGTGGTTACCCTCTTCAAGCCAGGGCCCCGGGTATTGTTTTTCACAATGTGCAGAGATATCTCATACTCTTGTCCAGGAGCAAGACCAGTTTGTCGATAAGAGGTCTCTGGTCTCCTCAGGCTTTTGGTGATTTCTCCATCATCTTTATTCTGAAAGACAGAGGCAACTTGGTAAGACTTAGAGGGCGTGTCAGCCTCTTTATTCATGGGATTCATCCATCCTGCATTTATTCATCGCTCATTTACTCTATCATCTATTCATTAGGCACTTACTGCTATCAGATCAGCATGCCAGATATTGAGGTCATAAGGGTATTTCTTGCATTGATTTCTCCCTCTCTATTCCCCCTTGGCATGCAAGTCAAATGACAGACTGTGAGAGTCAAAGAAATTCAGAAGCCACAAACCTAACCCTTGCTTTGATAGAGGTCAACATCAGAGAAGCAGAGTGATTGCTCCATAGTCATACAGCTGGTTGGTGGCAGGTACTGAGCCACCAACCAGAAACCAAGTCCCTTGTGTCACATGTGCTTTTAGGCTAGGGGGAAAGGATTACTGTTATCTGAGATATGCTTGGAGATATTTTGAGGGTAAGACTTCTCATTTTCCTCTGAGTAGATATTTGCAAGAGAAGGAGAGGCAATTAGAACCTAGAGATGACTAAAACTCCTGTTTGCCTAGGCTGTTGGCTGCTCTATGTGCTACACTTAGAATAATAAAATCAGAGGAAAACTAACATAATTTAAAATAAATATATTAGGTCAATGGGAAAGTTATGAAGAATTTTTCTATGCAAATCTGTGCCATGACTTTCCCGACAACCCAATACAAATATACATGGTGCTAATTAGAGCCTTGTCCTTCAGAGAAGTTAATTAAATCATGTGGAGAAAAAAATATGCATAACCTTTTGGCCATCCTTCAGATCCTGCTCCTACATACTCCTTACCATATTCCGGAAGATAATCTCCCAAGTTTCAAAAGCTATGTCTAGAGGATCCCACTCCACTTCCACAGATGTCTCCTTGATGGACTTGAACTTTAGGCCTTCAGGTGCAGGTAAGTCTGTAAGAAGCAGCACAAATAGGAGTTGAAGGTAGTGGAATGCACAGTGGGTATAAGTCAGCCATGATTACACTAAACTGAAGAGTGGATGCCTGCCAGGGGCTAGTACCGGAGCTGGAGTCTTCAAGGTTTTCTGGGATGCTATCTACTATGAGGCTGTATGAGCATTAGTAACAATACCATTTATTGGCAATTTCATATGGTTAACCCTAATACGAGCACAGGTTTTGAAAATAGACAGACTTAGATTCTAAGCTCTACCATTACTAACACTGTGACCCTGAGCAAGTTGCACAGAAGGACCTGAGCTTGGAAGAAGCTACTACCCCTTCGGAAAGTATTGAGGACTGAGTATTGTATTCCATGTAGACTGTGGGACCTGGTTCTTGGCATGTGGCATAAGTTGAACAAATATCAAATATCAGCCAATGTCATTATTATTAAGCAAGAATGGGTCAGTTTCTAGCCACAGCTTGCATTTCAGGTGTGGAAGTAATTACACTGATGCTAGTTTCTTAAAGGGATAACTTGAGCACTAATGTTTTCACTTAAAAAATATATATGTATGTGTGTGTATACATATGTACATATATACATAAATGTGTATATTTTGTGTGTGTGTATATATATATGTGTATGTGTGTGTATATATATATACACACATATATATATACATATATTTATATACATATATATACACACACACATATATATAGTGAGTCCCATAGAAAGATAGTAGACTGGTTAAGAGCATAAGTTTACCAGAGTTGTCAGAGTTCAAATCCCATCTCCACCACTTGTTAGCAGAGTGATTTGGGATGAGATACTTAACTATTCAAAGTCACAATTTCCTCATCTGTAAAATAGAATTAATAGCTCCTATCTCACAGAGTTAGATGAGTTTGTTGTATGTGGACTGCTTAATATAATGTCTGGTGCATATTAAGAACTTGTTACCCATAATGATTTTCTGTGGCAGGAAGGCTATAGGAGAACAAGAAGGGAGGTTTTGTAGAAAATGAGGAGTTTCGATAAGAAAACATAGAATGGGCTTAACTGGATTCTGGGATCTTAATTGCTGTAGCAATTAGGGACAACTATAGGGCTGTTGGGGGCACAGGCAGGGAAACTCAGGGGGGCAGGGCTACGTGTTGGATGAGAGGAGACTGTACAGTCTGGCTCACTCACATGTGGCCACCCGGGCACTGACGGGGATGCTCCTCTTGTTTTCCAGGATGGCGAACACGCGAATGAAATACTCCACACCAGGCTCCAGCTCTCGGATTATGGTGGAAGTCTGATCTCCGGGCACACGGAACTGCATTTCCAGGCCACCTGCATGAGTGGGTGTGTACTCGATGAGGTACTCCGTGACCCGCATCTCATTGTCCCAGGCCAGGTTTACAGTCTCTTCTGTTACTTCTGTCACGATGAGGTCTTTGGGAGGGGACACTGGCAGGAATAAGAGAGGACATTTAGGGTCAGTAATGTGTCTTATGAAGCCTCTCTGGGTTTTCCTGTACCTGTTTCTTCCACTGTTGACAACAGAGATCTGAAGTTCTTCCCTTGAAAACCACTTTCCATGACTCTAAAATGTGCAATTCATTGAGGACTCCTGATGTGATCCATCTGTAACATTTGGTGGACACCCATCAATCCATTACCTTCAGGCTGGAGTTCCAGGTGAGCAGTCTGGCCTTGAGTATTCTTTGTGATTGGGCCTCTCCTACTTCTACACTGCCTGGATCCTAGTTCAAGTTCACACATTGGCCTGGGGAATTACAGTCTGAGCTCGAATCCCTGCTCTGAGCTTTGAGTTAGACATTTTTAGCACTGAAAGTGCTGGGCTCATTTGGTCCAACTCATTCATTTCCTAGATGTGAGTGAGGTAGAGGGACTTGTCTTGCCCAAGTCTGCTAAGCTCATCAGCTTTGGAACTCACAACTCCTCCCTGTCAGGCTTCTTTCCAATCAGGCTTCCTGCTTTGGCCATATTAGACACAGAGCCATTTACTGGTTTGTCAGAAAATTAATGACACTTTTTTTTTTTTTTTTTGCATAGAAAAAAACACATCATGACTTTTCTGACATCCCAATATTAATTCCTAGGTATCAATGGCAGAAATTCCCCATTGTGACCATTGCAATATGGGTAGATAGAGAAGTACAAAGAAGACTCTCATTAAACACAAGCATTAACTGTTCTTGTGTTTGTATCAACCAATGTATTCTGAGCACTTCCTGTATGCCATGCCCTGTGCTAGCTACTGGGAGTAGTGCTCCTTTAAGAAAGTCATAGTCCCCTTAGGGTGAAAAAGAAAAAACACACAAAACTAAAAACTAACAGACAATTTAAGCAACAGGTTTACCTCATGATGATTAGCATTTAGTCTTTAGCTGAGAGTATATTTGAAACATTTTGTTTTATGTAATCTAAGTGCATATTCAATTTAGCTGAATTTTCACTTCCATTCAAGTAAAGGGATTTGTTTTCTATTGGTTCTATGTGAGTAGAGAATAAGAAAACAGGTTGATGTTCAGTAAAAGTTACCATGTCACCTACCTCATTCTTGGCATTGGATGTTAAACTTAGTGTAGATGAGTTAGGGTTAGACTCAGATATCAGCTCTACGGTATATTAGCTGTGCGTCCTCAGGACAATTATATGAACTCTCCGAGCCTTAGAGCCATCCAACAGGCAACCCTGTAACAAGTGAATGACCAGGGTTTCCTCAAAGAGTCAGTGTGTGTATGTGTATGTGTAATGTGGTGTTAATAATTAAGGCAATAACTATGTAATACTAATATATTGATATACTATTAATATATTATTATAATTTATAAAGATTCTGCATGTATGTGTTTATAGATATGAGCATAGTTTTCCAGCATATACTGGGTGCACATTAATCACAGCCATTTTCAAGGTGGCTTGTGTTGCTACTCACCCTCTGAGCAGTCTTCCCCGGTGTAGCCCTCATTGCAGATACAGCGACCAGAGACACACTGCCCCCAGTTACTGCAGTCGTTGGGGCAGGAGCGCTGACCACAGTCCAGGCCTGTGAAGCCCTCGTGGCAGATGCACTGGCCATCCACACAACGTCCCTGGCCGTGACAGTCACTGGGACATCTTCGCTCCTTGCAGTATTTGCCCATGAAACCTTCGTGGCACACACACTGTCCGTTCACACAGCGCCCCTGGCCGTGGCAGTCATTTGGACAGGAGAGTTCTGCACAGTCAGGGCCTGTGAAGCCGTCCTCACACACACACTGCCCATCCACACAGCGGCCCCGGTGGCTGCAGTCCCTAGGGCATCGGAGATCCCGGCAGTCCTCCCCCATGTAGCCATCGTCACAGACGCACATGCCGTTCACACAGCGACCGTGTTGGTGACAGTCATTGGGGCAGCTCATTTCGCTGCAGTCATAGCCTTTGAAGCCTTGCTCACACACACACTTGCCCTCCACGCAGCGGCCCCGGCTGTGACAGTCATTGGGGCACCTCAGCTGGCCACAGTCCTCACCAGTGTAGCCCTCGTCGCACACGCACTGCCCGTTGACACAGCGGCCATGGCCATTACAGCCATTGGGACATTGGAGCTCCCCACAGTCAGCTCCCGTGAAGCCATCATCACACTCACACTGTCCATTGGTGCAGCGGCCATGGTTGTGACAGTCGGCAGGACATCTCTTCTCGCTGCAGTCCACACCAGCAAAGCCCTCATCGCATACACATTGCCCTTCCTCACACCGGCCCTGGCCGTGGCAGGCATTCGGGCAGGTGAGTTTGCCACAGTCTTCACCTGTGAAGCCTTCTTCACAGTGGCAGGTGCCATTGACACAGCGCCCCCGGTCGAAGCAGTCGTTGGGGCAGATGAGCTCACTGCAGTCTTCTCCTGTGAAGCCCTCATCGCACACGCATTCATTCTCCACGCACCGCCCACGGTTGTAGCAGTTGTTGAGGCACAGGGGCTCATTGCAGTCATCGCCGGCAAAGCCATCCTGGCACACACACATGCCATCCACGCAGGTGCCGTGCTCCTCACTGCAGGGTACTGGACAGACCTCCTGGCTGCAGTCAGCCCCGGTATAGCCTTCAAAACAGACACAGACTCCGTTCACACACCTTCCCTGGTCGTTGCAATCACTGGGACAGGCCACCTGGCTGCAGTCCTCGCCGGTGAAGCCCTCATCACAGATGCACTGTCCATCAACACATTGGCCTTGAAGGTGACAGTTGCCTGGGCACTCGGGCTCAGAGCAGTTGGCACCTTTCCAGCCAGGTTCACAAACACAACCACATCCTTCAGTGCTGAAGTTGCCCCGGCCACTGCAGAAAGGTTTGGTGTCCAGGCGGCCTGTGACAAAGAGAACAGAAGCTCTGAATTGAACATACACAGTAGTATTTCTTGGTATCTAGCAGAGACACCTATATTCAAATTCAGCCAGAGAGTGGCTGTGCTTTAGGCCTCATCTGACTTGAAAACCAGTTGCTTATTAAGTAAAATCAGACAGAACTCACATTTAACTATACCAGCTAAGAATTCTTAACTTGTATTCCTTGAAACTGTAGACCTGTACGCAAAGATCTTCTATATTTATGTGGGTGTGCATGTGCATTTGTATTTCCTCCCAGGGGGACAGGACCCAGAGTTGTCATCACATGTGCAAGGAGTCACATGATCCCAGTGATTGAGTCACTGCCTTGTGAATGTGTCGTGTTGGGCTATGTTGCTATTTCTCTGGTGCCTCATCAAGGTCAGTCACATAAGAGATGCCCAAGAAATACCCACTGGACAGCACTTAATCCTGACTTTTGACTCAATAGCTGTGACTCAATTTCTTCTTTGAGAAAGAATGTAGGCTCTCTAGATCTCAGTTTCCTCATGGGTCACATGATCATCACTAGCCCACTTCCCTGGGGACATCAGCGTTAAATGAGGGCAATAAAAGCTTACTTGTGCTCATGGTAATTTTAACTTCCAAAGATTTTTGGGGTTGATTTAAATTGGTATGTGGGTTTAGGTGATCAAAATTTTCTAACTTTCCATAACTAAAATGAGAAAATGAGAGAGTGGCTTACTAATTCTATGTAACACCTTTCAGTGGGGCTCTGTCCCCAGGAAACTCTTACACCTCTGTCTTTCATTCCTTTCTATCCTGAAGGCTGACATAGTGGGTTAACGCGAAAAATGCAGAGTAAGGGCTGACATCACTCCCGCTCTTTGGGGTCTAAATAGTGTCTTGGCTTTGGGCGGGGGGTGAGGGGGTGGGTCAGTCCTACAGACTAGTGATTGATTTTGCACTTAAACACTGACATTTTGTTCATATTAGACTCAATAAAATAGATAATTGAAATTATAGTGGTTAAGTAAGCTGGCTTTCATATGGCTCTCTTTCACAGTTCAAAGACCAGCCTAGATGACTTGAAAAATATGTCAGGCATATGTGTGTGCATGCTCAAAATCCTGACTGAATAGAGAAATGGAGAAGGGCTTGCAATGAAATCATGCCCATTGGAGGTGCTCTCTCCACCTCTCTCTGGTGAGGGCATACACTCTCTGACTATCAAAAATAAAAATATTGTCCTGGTTCAACTCACAGGATTCACTGACCTGATCTCCATGGAGCCTAGAGAGAATAAACAAATCTCACTTCCAAATTCCCTGCACCTAAATATGAATATATACATGTATACATACATACAGACACACACACACACACACATACACACACATTTAATTTGTCAGAGGATGCTTATGCTCGCTGGAAAGAGAGAGAGACAGAGAGAGAGAAGGAAAGTAAGAAGCAAGAAAGCATCTCCTAGGGCGGGATGACCATGCTGCAATCCTTTCTCCTCCATTTTCCTCTTAAGGTTTTGGGCATGCATGCAAAAGCACCCAGTGTGTTTCTCAAGCTGCAAAGTCCAAGACTCAAATTGCAAAGTTAGTCATGTGAGATCTAGTCACGTTAAACATCATCTCACCTGGCTTACCCAAAAGAAAAAAAAAATTAATGTTGATTTGAGGGGCTGGCAGGTGGTGTAGTAGTTGAGGTGCTGGACTCCCACAGGACCAACTGTGATTCAAGTCTTGGATCTGATGGCTTGCTTTCTCACTTTCCCCCCTCTCTCTGATCAAATTCAAATAAATTAATAAATAAATAAAGTTAAATAATTATTTTTTAAGAAGTTGATTTGACAAGTGAGAATCTAAATCTGTGCTGCTCACTATTTGGCCACTGGCCATATGTGGCTATTAAGCATTCAGTTGTGGCTGATTTGAGTTGAAATGTACTTCGTGTGCTAAATACACACTGATTTCAAACACTACAGTGTGAAAATATCCAGTAACAATGTTTATTATCGATCCTGAGCTGAAACACTGACATTTTGCTTATATTGGATTCAATAAAATAGATGATTAAAATTATCGTTACCTGTTTCTGTCTCCTTTCCTTAATATGACTTCTGGAGTATTTAAGATTAGACTGAATAGAGAAATGGAGAAGGGCTTGCAATGAAATCATGCCCATTGGAGGTGCTCTCTCCACCTCTCTCTGGTGAGGGCATACACTCTCTGACTATCAAAAATAAAAATATTGTCCTGGTTCAACTCACAGGATTCACTGACCTGATCTCCATGGAGCCTAGAGAGAATAAACAAATCTCACTTCCAAATTCCCTGCACCTAAATATGAATATATACATGTATACATACATACAGACACACACACACACACACATACACACACATTTAATTTGTCAGAGGATGCTTATGCTCGCTGGAAAGAGAGAGAGACAGAGAGAGAGAAGGAAAGTAAGAAGCAAGAAAGCATCTCCTAGGGCGGGATGACCATGCTGCAATCCTTTCTCCTCCATTTTCCTCTTAAGGTTTTGGGCATGCATGCAAAAGCACCCAGTGTGTTTCTCAAGCTGCAAAGTCCAGGACTCAAATTGCAAAGTTAGTCATGTGAGATCTAGTCACGTTAAACATCATCTCACCTGGCTTACCCAAAAGAAAAAAAAAATTAATGTTGATTTGAGGGGCTGGCAGGTGGTGTAGTAGTTGAGGTGCTGGACTCCCACAGGACCAACTGTGATTCAAGTCTTGGATCTGATGGCTTGCTTTCTCACTTTCCCCCCTCTCTCTGATCAAATTCAAATAAATTAATAAATAAATAAAGTTAAATAATTATTTTTTAAGAAGTTGATTTGACAAGTGAGAATCTAAATCTGTGCTGCTCACTATTTGGCCACTGGCCATATGTGGCTATTAAGCATTCAGTTGTGGCTGATTTGAGTTGAAATGTACTTCGTGTGCTAAATACACACTGATTTCAAACACTACAGTGTGAAAATATCCAGTAACAATGTTTATTATCGATCCTGAGCTGAAACACTGACATTTTGCTTATATTGGATTCAATAAAATAGATGATTAAAATTATCGTTACCTGTTTCTGTCTCCTTTCCTTAATATGACTTCTGGAGTATTTAAGATTACCTTTGTGGCTAGTATTCTTTTTGTATAGGACAATACTGCTCTAAGCAAGTTTAATCCACTATTTATCATTAATTTTATTGTGCATTCTTACCTGCATTTTGCCAGGAGTTGACAGAATGAAAGAGAAACTAATTTATGCATGAAGAAAATTGTTAAAAATGCCTTATACTATTCACTTATGGTGGGTAGGTCTACTCTAAAAATAATTCTTAAAGCATTTTCTGCTGATTTTTTTTCTGAATGGCAGAAACAGAGTTTTGCCTTTGACTTGAAGTTGTCAAAACTCGTATAACACTATCAACTTTAGGGAATAGAGTTGAAGACATGATTTTGAAGCAGTAAAATTCCTTCAGATAGAATGCACACTGAGACAGTTTCGATGGGAAAGTACATATTCAAAGCCCCTGTCTCTTATTGCTCTTTATATCATCTTGTGCCAGTTAACTTCTTTGAGTCTCAGCCCTTCGATTTGCAGAAGAGGGTGTTAAATCTTAAAGGGCTGTTAGAAGATTAAGTAAAACGATAGTTTTGGTGCCTGGTACATAGAGGGGACTTAAGTCATGGTTGTGATCATTACCATGACTAGCATTTAATTGAAATGTGCTTTATAATTCCCAATGACTCAGCACTACCATGAGCACCTGAGTCATGGTACATATGTAAAAATGCCGAGATGTAGAATATTCTGTTTAAGACCTAACTCAGTGACTCATTGCAGGACCTTGAGAAATCCATTCCCTCTTCTTGGCCTCAAATTCCCTACTTGTACAATAAAGTGGCAGGAATTTCATAACCTGCTCATGGTTTTGTAGTACAAAAAAGGTAGATTTTGTGATCGAATAAGTTTAGAAAACGTATAACAAAAGTAAAATCGTTTTTCAAAGTAAAACTTCTCATAGTCATGTATCACCATGACTATTCCTAACAGGAGAGAGAGAGTTATATTCTCCACTTTATTTGACCACAGATTCTTTTTGTAATAAGAACTGGTGAGGATAGTTTTCCAGAGCTCCCCCTTCAGGAGCAGCTGATGGATTCTGTGATGCCCATCATTTCTCCCACTTGTAGTGAGGGGTTTGGGTGGTCACCACTCATACCTTCGGCGGGTTGGAGACAGCAGCCTGCACCCATGGTGCATTGCTCCCGTAGAGATGACACCAGGCTTTCCAGCTCCTCCAGCCTGCTCAGGAGCTCCTTGACATCAGGAGCAGCAGCACAGCCACAGGCCCGGCGGGGAATGTTGATGCGATGTGTAAAGACAATTTGGTTATCCCCATCCACGGTGTGCTCTTGGAAGCTTTCACTGGGTTGTGATGTAGGAGCTAGGTCTTTGTCCCCACTGGGTGATTCCAGATCCACTGAACATTGAGACCCCACAGGGAGCTTGATGTTGTAGACATGGTTAAATACTACTGGCTGGTTCTCTTCAGGCAGGGTGATGTTCACCCCACTCTGTCGCTTATGCCTGATGACTTTCTTGAGGACCCCACCTTCCGTATGGAGGGCAAGTAAAGATAGCACCATGCCCGCCAATAGCTGAGTCAAGGCCCCCATGGTGGAGGTGGCTTTGTCTAGGTGTTGTGAGGTTCTAGGCCCCTAGGGTGTCCCAGCAGAACTGGGAATTAGTAGAATCCAAATGAGTTGTTCTTGACCTTTTTGAAACAATTCTACAAGAACACAAAGGAAAACAACAAATTTAGTATCTATTACTAATTAAATCTACTGAATATCTACAATTCCAAGTAAATTTTTACTTTACATAGCCAATGTTTAAAGATCTCCTGATCTTCCTCCATTATTTATTATAGTAATGATATAAAATTGTCTTTCAAATAATTTTGCAATCTTGAAGGAATAGTTTTGCTCAGTATTTATCTCCTGAAAATTTAAGGAAACAGCATTGTGTAGAGGAAAACAAAAAACATTAGAATAAGACACACATGAGTTTGGATCTCAGCTTCAGCTCTGGGTCCTGGGGTAAGTCATATAACTTTTCTTTGCCTATTTCACTTTCTGTTCAGTGAAGATCATGATGGCTAATGGCAGGGCTGAAAAAAAATACTAAGACAAGCTGGAGCTATCTCTATGGCTTGGTGGTTACCATAGCAGGATACCACATTGCAAACCTTATGGTTTGAGTCTTGGACCCAGTGCCTTGAGAAATATGCCAGGCACAAGCATATTGCCCAAGATCCTGAAAGGAGAGAGAACGGAGACAAAATTGCAGTATGATCACTCTCCCTGTAGGTTGTTTTCTCCTCTTCCCCTCTCTCTGTCTCTCTCTGATGAGCGCACACACCTTTAACAGAAAGAAAGATGTAAGTGAAAGAATTAAGTCAGAATCATTTTTTTAAATAATCTTCAATATTTACTAGCTAAGTTCTCTGAGTGACTCATTATAGTGATTTGAAGGCCAGAGCCCTAGTAAATATTCAATAACCCCTACCTCTTATTATTGACCCTCAAAACCAAGTGTAATACCATCTGATGGTTCTCTTCTGCCATTGGAGGTCAAGGTTAAAATGAAGGACTCCAATAGAGAAGTGCAATTTTAATCTCAGCCAAGCTCCTTACTAGTTATATACAACTGTCAGCATATAAGGAGCCTTTAAAAAGTTAATAGAAATGCATATTATGAAAAAACTATGCATGAATTTCATTTCTTACATAAAAATAAACTTATATTTTAATTCCATTTATCCACAAACTTTTTGAAGTCTCTTCATAGTATTCTCTCTATATCTCAGTTTACCTTATTATTTCCAAGATCTTCAAAAGTTCAGTTTATAGAAGAGCCTTACAGAATATTTCTGAACCCGTGGTCCAAAATGAAATTCATAGCAAGAGGTGGCCTAGAAAGGATGTCTATGAACCTCTGATGTCTTTTCCAATCAGATATTTATAGAATGCTTACTGAATATTCCATAGAAATCAGAGTTCTGTGGGTGGTAGAAGTAAATATAAGATACCTATTCCTAGAGGACTTAATAATAGAATCATGAAGAAAATGGAATTGTTCATTCAATAATTGGGGAACAAAGAAGAGAAATGTGAAGGATTTATTCTGTGGTGTAGACTGTAACTTCCTATGGAGATTGCAAAAAAAAAAAAAAAAGAGTTGTCAAAAGAGTGGTAGAGTATGACTTACTGGAAAGGATGAAATTTAATCTGAGCCTTAAATAGTGAGAAGTAGATGGAGAATATGGAGGAGAGCAGGCTACCATGAAGCAGTTCTCACTTTGCTAAGTTATATTTTCATCTGTCTTATGGCTATTCACCTGTATGGGCAATCATCTGAAAGGGAAGTTGTCAAAGGCAGGTGAGAATTACTGAATAAAGCTAGGAAGACGTGGAGAACTTCTGGGTAGTTTTAACATTGACTAAATAATGCCTTGGAAGCATGTACGAATGATTGTACACAGTACGAAGACATTCACAGTCCTCTTTAATTAGGAAGTACACCTGAGTGTTGTTCAAGAAAATAATTGCAGAGTTCTTTGATTTTTTTAATAAGTATTTTCACAAATTGGTGTTTCCCTCTGCCTATCCTATTCTTACTCTTGAACATTCTAAATTATTTATATTCATTAGGGGTATTTGGATCACTTATAAGAAATTTTCTAACTTGTTTCCCAGAAAGATTTCATCCCAGTGAGAGGAGGCATCCACATGATCCCACTGATCACCTCCTTCACGATAACTTCACAAAGAAATTCTTTACAAAGCCTGGAGAGGGATGTAGCAAGAATAATGAGCTGAGAAACATTTTCTTTTTAATTATTATTTCTAGTTTACATATATTCAATTTATATATTTAAAAATAAGGGAGAAGCATTTCTATAGGATGGAGCAGGGATCTGAGGACCTGGAAAGTACAATTCATCAAACTTATCTACATCCCCACCATATCTTAATTATATACAATTGATATTTTACCAATTATTTATGCAATATTAATTTACGGCATCGACTTTCTTGTTAAGCTGGGAAAAAAAATAAGAAACCTCTTCTGAGCATAGTTTCTCATTCAAATTAGTTTCCTGAATCTGAACTTGTGGGTCAGTAATGTAGGCAAACCCACAGAATATAAATTATTATGAAGAGGAGAGTTTGGCATATTCTCTTCTCTCAAACCATTTTGGCCCATTCTGTTTGTTTCCTGGATAAATATTTATTGATTGCATACTCTATTGGAATGACAACTTTAACTATGTTTTGCTTGACAAAGTGCTTTCTTATCATTTTTCATTAATTCTTAGCTTTTTTATTCTTTTATTTTGGAGGAAGGGCCATAGTTGGACTTTTACCCATAACTTTTATAGGTTTTGCTAAATAATTTAAATTTCCATCTAAAAAGACATTGGAGTTGTTGGTTGAGACTCCAAGGCAATGAGTTTAGAGAATGAGTTTAGGGTAATAATGACCAGAATATGGGTAGAGTGAGGATTTTTCACTGTAATCAGATGGGCCTTGGCACAGCCAATTATTGCATTGTTTTGGAAAAATGCAACAGGGTGCATTTGAAAAATGCATGAAAATCATCCTTCCCCAAAACAGTGTGTTATGTATATCTCTTTGGTTCATGATGGTCTCAGAGTAAGTGGATGTTTTTGTATTTGGGGAAAGACCTATTTTATCTTCAAGCATTGTAGAAAATGTTTAAACTTTGGAAAACCAAGGTTCAAATGCTACTCATTAGCCCTGCAACTTTGGAAGGTACTTATTAAGGTATTTAAACAATAACCTAATTTATAAAATGGGGTCAAAACTGTTCCAGAGGGAATTAAAGATACATAAAGCTCCCAGCGTGGTATCAGGTTCATAGTAGACACTCATTAAACAATAGCTCCTATTTTGTTGTGCTACTGGGAGCAAAATCTAGGAAGAGTCCACACCAATAGCTTCTTCATGCTTGAGTTTGAGTGTTATTTCCCAGTTGAACCTAGTTTTAAAGTCAGCACCAACTTGGATCTAAATCAAAGTTGAACTGAAAGGTAAGGAGATAAATCTTACAAAGATACATTTACTAGAACTGGACAGAAATATTTATACTAGAGAGGGAGAAGGTAGGGAACAATAATGACCTTTAGGAATGTAAAATATTCTCACGCAGACAACTGGCTTGTTTATATCTCCTTTGAGGGCAGACCTAGAGAAAATTACCTGAGGTTACAGTTTGAGATATTTTAGGTTAGACATGAAGAATCATCTTCTGATGATAGGGCTTTTATAATTTTAGGATGAGCAACTTATTCTACAGAGACTATTTAAAAGCACAAGTACTGGGTTATTGGAAAAGTCACAAAGTATTTTTGCAAAGAAAAACACAGGAAAATAGATTAAAAACAAACAAACAAATACATCATGAGTTCTCTGATGACCCAGTGGATTCTTATCTTTATTGGAAGTGATCAGCAAAGAAATAAAATACCCTGTAGAAGAAAGAACTATAGATTTACATGTTTGTAGTGAGGGGATGGTGGGCAGGGTTACCTATATCAATCCTGGGAAAGCAGAAACTGGCTTATGCCTTATGATCCCTGAAGACAGAATAAGCACCAGTGTGTGTGTGTGTGTGTGTGTGTGTGTGTGTGTGTGTGTTTGGAGAGTAGGAGAATGAGAAGAAAAAGTTGATTACAAGAGGAAAAATGTTATTATAACAGGAGATTTTTCTAGTTTAATTTATCACACAATTGAAAGTTTTTCTTTGAGAATGTAGCAAGCTCCAAAGCACTAGAATGTACACACATAGGGTCTTCAAATGTTTGTGGAAAGTGTATATTAAGAAAAAACTATGCAGGGATTTCCAAAAAAATGTTTGCACCAAAATACACTTGTACTTTAAATCCATTTCCATGAACAGTTTGAAGTTCCCTTGTAGAATGGTGTTGAAGAGCACAGAAACAAGGGGTTGAATCACACTTCAACACTTCATCTTCCTTGGGCAAGACATTATCCAGTACCACAAGCCAGAGCACGATCATTAATAAATGTGCTAAGAGTGTCCCCATAAGATTTTTGTGAAAAATGCAATGTGTATAAAAGGAATGCCATAGTCTTTAGCAACAGTAGGAGCCTAACAAAGGAGAGATTTTATAGTGAAAAATAAGGACTTCACATAAGGTCTATTTTTAAGCGAGGGTAGAGTTCTGCCATGAGGTGAAAAATTCTCAGTGGTCCCCCCAAAATAAGCCTTGGGGATATAGAGATTGTTTATAGACATGTCTATGTGTGTTTTGTTTATCTTTTCTAGTGATGTTAAAAGACGTGGTGGATTAATGGTTACAAAGGAGAGCATTGGGAAGACACACCCCTTGCAGTGGCTCAATATATAGATTGTTGGAGCCACATATCCAGGACAAAGCACTATTTCTGAGCTGTGAATGGTGTGCTGCTCTGTACCCTGCCTCGGCATGTATTTCTATTGCAGAAAAATACACAGGAGGATCATAAAGGAATAGATTAGAAAGGAGACTTTGTATCTAGAAGGAATGAGGGAATCAGGAAGATACATCTGTGACTATAATAACAATACAGTGAGTAACAAATGATACTGACTAAACTTGCCCAAAGTGGAAAGTGGATACAGTCTTTTGAGGAGCTCAAAAAAGACACCTTGAAAGAGTACATTTGAGATGGAACAGAATAATAGGCAAGATTTGAAAAG